AAATATTACAGAATTTCTTATTTTTCGAGTTTTCTACATTAGTAACTTTGTTTTTCATAATATCACATATTTAGTGAAAATAATACAAAAATTCTTATTTTTCGAGTTTTCTACATTAGTAATTTTGTTTTTTCATAATATCATAATTTTAGTAAAAATAATACAAAAATTCTTATTTTTCGAGTTTTCTACATTGGTGACTTTGTTTTTCATATTATCACATTTTGAGTGAAAATAATACAAAAATTCTAATTTTTCAAGTTTTCTACATAAGTAACTTTGTTTTTTCATATTATTTTCTATGAAAATGACTGTCACAGTTTCGAAAAGCACGCCATCTGCGTATTATTGGTTTTCATGCTTTAAAAATAAAGAACAGAACAAATGTTTTGAGATCATAGAAACAACCCGCTTATGTTGAACCCGCTTGCTTGCTTAGGCTTGCATTTTCTTCTGTTAGCTTGCTTGTTTAGCTTGTTTAGCTTGTGATTTTTTTCCGTTAGCTTGCTTGCTTAGCTGGTGATCCTGAATATTTGTCGGCTTGTTTTGGCCATCATCATGGAAACATCAGTAGGGTGTGGTACGAGTCTAGTCCTTAACTGAGACGAATAAAGACTCATCACGGGCAATGTTTGTTCTACAGACACACTTGCCGAGAACAGTTCGTTCTACCCATTTCTGATGATGATGATGAGACACAAGCAAGCAAGCAAGCGGGTTGTGTCTATGTTTGAGATATCAATATTTGCTGTTGCATGGCTTTATATTTTTTACTTTCCTGATATATATACAACTCGATGGTTCTTGAAATTCTTATTACATACATACTTTCTTTGCGCTTACTTTTATTACTCGGATCACAATATTTTTATGCCCTCTTCATACGCTCTTATCTGATCAGGAAAATATTTCTGATGAATTTATTTTTATTTATTTTCTGACCCAATAGTTAGTCGTTAGGAAAATCGTGGAAAATAAAAAGACAAGAACGTAAAGAAAGGAGAGTTTTGATGACCTTAATCAATTTCTGCAATTTCGTTGCTTTTTTCCTGTAAATTCTTTTTTTCCCTTTCAATATTATTTTCTTCTCGTCATTGTTTATTTTAGGACGATGATTCCTGAAGCGAGAGTAAGGAGATAATGAAATCAATCAGCAAGAAAAAAATTCTTCTACAGATTGAATCAATATTTGTTATAATATTGAAGCTTTAAAGCATCTTTTATTTTTGAAGATGTTTTTCTTGTTATGCCCAAATTCCACAAGACGTTTGTTGAGTATCGCAATTATCTGTGAAGATCTCTTTGATGTAATATGTACGTAGATATAGAAAAGATAAGTTAAGTAGGCGATGTTGACAGCAACACAAGTAAGACAAAATATTAAAGTGAACGGTGTCAAATTACGCCTAATTTAATTTTGATTATACTTATATGTTCAAAAGAATGGAAGAAGAGTAAAAGAAGAATGTGAAGATATCATCTTATCACATGAATTTATTGAAAAAACTTTTCGTCTTTTAGATAAAAAGAAAACTCTTAAGGGGGAAACAAAGTTCTTCGATTAAAACGACGAAGCTTTTGTAATGTGACATTTTTTATTTCAGTTTCACTCAAATTTATTTGTTCCGTTTTTCTCTCCTTTTTGATATTAGCACATGATTATATGTCGCTTCATATATCTAAGAATTTCTATTTATTTTCTTTGAGTCTTATTCGTGCTCATTCTATAGAAAAAACAAGATAATAAAGTGTGAGAAATTAAAAATGGAAGAAAGAAAAATCTTTTTAGATTCCTTTCGGTTTCATCAATTTCTCGTTGAGACCATGCACTTTTCATCTACTAACAACAAGGGTGAGAAGAAAAGTAGAAGCGATCAATCAACTAATGAAAGCAAAGTCTGAGTTGGCGTGTGTTGAAGTGAGAAATAAGAGGAAGTTTTCTAGGAATGGAATGAGAAATTAATGCGAAAGAAATTTGACAACACAAATAAATTTAATGAGTGAGAGTGAATAGGGTGAGAGATAAACCACTTGATTGAAAATTAATTATTTCATCTTGAACATCCACTTACTTTGGCCATTTGTTAGACTTACATGTAAAGCGTCCGTCACCATGATGATGAGATTATGAAGAAAAGTTTAATATTATTAAAAGGAGAACAATGAAATTATTATTTTGAGGTCAAGAGAAATTCAAAATGTTCCTCTCATATCATTAAAAGTTTTCTCTTCAGCGAACAAGTTAAGCAAGATGAAGACTTCTAAAACATACATAAAGGTAATGAGGATGTTGTGTTGTGATATTGATGTTAGCAATTCCCAGAGGAAAAATATATTACAAACTTAAAGACATGATGGGATATGTGGCAATAAAGGTTACGGTTCCGTCTCTCTTTTCCGCACTTCTTTTTAAATCTCAAAATGTTTTTTCAATTCAAAATCTGATTTTATTTGTGAGAAATCAAAATCTTTTCAACAGATTCTTCCACTTAAAAATCTTTTTACATTATTCAGAAGCTCATTTGAAAGTTTAATAGAAGCACGCTTAGCCCAAATCTATCTTAAATTTCATATCGTTTTATAATAAAGATCTTCTAGTATTATGAAAGGGATTGGATTCCTTGAATTTACATTATTTATGAATGATTCCCTTTCATAATGTGTACAACCAAGTAAGAAGATATGCGACTCTTTAAGTTACAATTAAGAAGAATTTTTATGAATTAGTCTACATAATAAAATTGCTTACATTTCTGCACAAGGATTATTTCCACAGCATTTTCCGGGTAACGTTACAGTCTACATTCGAATGTAAACAGTCTGCTTTGGATGTAATCATCATCCCAAACATAGTAATGAAAAATCATCCACATCAACGACTTTTTTCAGACTTCGTGCTTCACACTTTAATGTTTCAATGGCTTTTTTTCTTTTTATTCAGAATTTTTCTCGCAAGTACGAGTCACGACTTCGCCCAAAAAAGTCTTTTTCTCTTTTATTTTTTGTTATCTTCACCATTCATTTTCACGTTCATGCCATTAAGTTTTATTGCACTTTCTCTTAAAATCCTCATGGTGTTTACCATTAAAATAAACAAAAATGAAAATCATTTGAGGATGACAGAAGGTCAAGAAAGGTTAAGATTATCATCCCACAAATGTTTAAACATTTTTCTAAGCCATCTTTTCAAGGTGTTGCTGTAGTCTCTAATCATTCATTATCGATAGACCCTTCACTCATTCAACAAACAAATTTAATGATGTTGATAGAATTCCATCCTCTCAATATCTCTCAACGTTTTTGTTTTTTTTTTTATTATTATAGCTTTTTTGTTCAATCGCAATCCCAAACAAAAAGAATCATATTTGTAATCAAAATATCTACTAGATAAAAAAATTGAAGATCGTAAAAAGTGATACCCGTTCATCCGTTGATAAACGTTCATCCGATATGAAAATGAATATCTACACAAATAAACAACAAACCAATCCAACATAGGACATATGTAGATAGCCTTCAACGTATGTATATGTATGCTAGGGGTATTGACGGACGGTTGCTTGAGTCGACCGTGGAAGTTCTGACAATTGTTAGCTGCTGTTAAAAATATGTAGCTGAAAAATTTTAAATTTGGTAACAATTTTAAGATTGTTAACTGTTGCTAAAAGTTGTTGATTGTTGCTATATTTTGCTATCGTTTGCTTAAAATTTGTCGTTTGCTTTTTTCTTCCGAGTTGCTTATAATAATGATTGATAAACCAGTGAAAGTTGTTGCAGTTGACAATTTTCCTTCGGGGCATCAGCCCCTTGCATGCATGGATAGATGTTACATGACATACATACATACATAGTCATAAAAACAAAAAAAATAGCTTCAAACATTTAATCAACAGCTAGGCATGTTACCCATCTGATTGGAATTAATTCGTTTCCAATGATAATATGGGTAAAAGCTGAGAGATGGAGACATAAAATCACTGAAAAGTTTGGTGAGCCGAGTTTAATCGCTTTTGGTTTCATGAGACGCAAAAAAGTCGTTAATATTTTTATGTCACTGTGTTTTAATGTAAAAGTGTAATCGAAATTTAATTTAAAAAGATCGTAAAAAAATCTTAACTCTTAAAATAATGCAACAACGTGACATTACTTCATGATGGACTTGAAGCACTTTTGATAGTCCAGAGAAATGGAAAACTCATTTGTGCAGAATTAATTTCTTTCAGTTGGAAGCGAAAAATGGGTTCGTTTAACTTGCCTGCCTTCATAATCGTGTAAATTAATTTTCGGGTCAGAAAGTAGAGCGTGGGAGGTGAGACCAGGAAGGGATTCCCTTATTTTCTTCTTTTTATAAATGAATTGTGGCTAGAACAAGTGTTACCTTTCCATCATGAGAATTAACACAATTAATATAGAAGCCGATTTTCATTGATAACTTGAACTTAGAAGTTTCATTCTTTAATTTTCATGCTGATCATTTTTTTAACAAAATAATAAATTTTGAAATTTAAACATAGGAGAAGTGACTTGACTAAGTGAGTAATCTAAAAACAGCGTCTGAATTATCAACAATTAATAATGACTTGAATAATGAAAAACTGATAAGACAATGAAGATTTTCATATAAAATCTGTAATGAAAATTTCCAAAGTTTTTATACATATGAACATATTGCTGCAGTCTTTTATTGTGTATTAATATTTATTGCCAGAACTTGTATCTTTCTATGTTTCCGCTATCCATTCACATCCCTCAATTTTTTTTTTGGTTCGAAGTATAGTGGAACGGGGAAAATTGATTAATTGAAAAGCAATGTGGCTGGTGTTATCCGAGCGGATTCAATAAAAAGAGAATTATTTCGAACAAATTCCTGGAGGATGTTTCAAAAACAAGAAAAGTGTGGAAAGCGGATGGCTATGGAAAAATTCATTGAACAGTGAACAGAATTATTGATAATTCGTGTTTTCTCGAGAAGTAGCACACGCGTTAAAGTGATTTGGAAGTCTTTAAATTTTCTCGTGTCAGTAAATTTATCTCAAGTCGTGATATCGTAATTGCCGATTGATTGGTAGGAGCGAAAGAATTTTTTTGCGACCCATAGAAAAATTCTCAAGCAGAAAAGTTGCTATGAAATCAATGCTAACGACTGCTTTTCATTTATTAATCAGAGAAGCTATAAAACACGAAGGCCAAGTTCTTTATTTTTATACTTTTTTCCCTCGATACTGCAAGAGGAAGAACCATAAAATTATTCCACAATTTATTTATTATCCAGAATCTTTGCCGAAAGAATGGTTTGTAAGTTAAGAACAAAATTTGCTGTTTTTACGGTTTCTTCAGCCCAATTTGTAAGCGAAGATGGATAAACTCCACTTCGTCTCGATATTACATCAAAAATTAATGAGGAATTCTTCTCGCTTATGGAATGTTGTTTGAGCCTTTTTGTCATTTAACGTCACAAGGAAATCATTAATTTATCAATCTAGACGAACATCAAAAGTAAATCAAATATGCCGATTGACGGAAAACGCGTAAACACATAAAACATTTTGCTCATCATAATTTATTGAAAAAATTGAAATTCTTTGTAGATAAACATGAAATATGGAAGTTAGATTAATTAACATGTAGGTTTGTTTGACTTAATAATTGAGATGAGAAATTAGCATTCTTTCCTTAAATTATTATTAAAGTATTCTTAAGTGAACTACTTTGAAATATTTCTTTGAAAGCTGCGAGTAATGGAAACAGTTTTTCTCCATTAAGTATCCCACCCACATATCTACATAATAGGTGAAGGGATAAAATGTTGATGCAAGAATCAATTGTGGACGTCTTAAAAGCTTCCTAAGCGATTTCGTGAAATTATTCTTATTATCCGGATACACAGGAATGTCAATTTTTCAAGTATTTATTGATATATATTTGAAGAAAGGTTCTTTGCCCCATTCCGATTGATTTTATAAGAAAATCGAAGTCACAAGACAAATGCCAGTTCAACAAAATACATACTAACATTTTCTATCCTGAGGGATTGACAAGCGACGTTTTTGTCATGATTTTACAAAAGAAATCATTCGTAAATATGTGGTAAATAACAAGACATATTAACATCATACTCGTCATCTACAGCTTTAGGGTAAAGTCTAATATCTTCTTTAAAATTCAAATAATTTTCTTTGTTTTCTTTAATCTTTAGTATCTAAATAACTGGGAGAAAAAAAGCTTAAAAGGATGGAAACAATTCACCTGTGAAAATCTGTTTTTCATGTGTTTAGCAATTTCCGTTTCTTTTCTGTTTCTCTCTTCACGCTTTCGTGAAGATGATTTTCCTTATTGTTGGTTAAACAGAAATACTCGAGAGGAAAATTGAGAAAAGTAAAGATGAAGAAGGTGCAGAAAAAGAAGAAGAAGAAGAATAAAAGAAACAACAAAACAAAACGAATTTATCGCTTTTGATCGCATAAGCCTTCTTATTGTTACTTGTACTTCCTTTTTTTGTCGACATTGCGAGAAATTGTGAACAACAAAGAAACAATTGAGAGAAGAATGTTGCTTACGTCATAGATAAAACGTGTGCTGAATGTGAAAAGCGATATCAAGAAGAAGCTTTTCAAATTCATCACTAAAGTGAACTTCTTTGCTTTTATGACAACATAAAAAAATTTCACGGATGAATGGTGAAATGAAAAATTTATAATCCCGATCAGAAATTCATTTAAAGCAGGAACTGAAACTCGAATCCAAGGTGGAACGTTCAATTTTTGAATTGCAAGAAGTAAAGAAAATGGAAATAGTTGGAAAATTCAATTAGTTCCAGTCTCTGGTTTAAAGATGTTTTCTTCCTTATTTTCGTATTTCATTCCTCTGTACAATACACATGGCGATGGATTAAGGATTTAAATGGAATGTAGACAAGAAAAAAAAAGTGAATGGTTATAAGAAACCTCTGACTTAGTCCAATAAAGTCAAAACCCAAATGATGAGAAAGGAAAATGAAGAAAGAAGGAAGGAAAATTAATCGACACATCAATTTATTATTTATTGATATATTTTTATTTTTTCTGCTTTCCCACTTGAAAGACGAGGGAACTTTTATGAAGACTTACATGACAGCATGATGCTGCTTGGACTGGAGAAATTAATTCGCTTATTGAAGATTTATATTCACATATGGAAAGATATGAACTTCTTCTCATTTTGTTCATTCTTTTTTTTTATTTCCGACAACATATTAAAAAAAATACTTTCGTCCTTTTTCTGAAGCTAATTCAGATGTTCTACCATTTAGAGACTATTTTACGATCATTCCTTTTATTTTCTCACATAAATATTTTCCCATGAGAGATAAATTCAAACTCCCAAACATAATAAAATAAAACTGAGAAAAAAAGTATTTCGTGTGAAGATAAAGGGAAAAACTGGGAATTACAATTCATTTCTTGATTCTCCCTTTTTTTCATGCCATCGAATCACGAAAAAACAGTGGTGAAGGTAGAGACAGTTAACTTTTTCATCTCAATTTACAGAAGTCATAAGAGTATCATGCAATGAATTCTTTGACTAGCAACAGAGGCAAAAGCATAAGAAACGTTACAGTTCCCAACATTTTTCCATCCACATCAAATTCACTTTTACTAGCATCCATTTATAAAAGAAAGAATGAGAAAAAAATTAAACGGTTTGGAAGAAGACGATGGTGGCTGTAGAGGTCTTTAAAGCTATTAAAACTTCCTTGATGTTTATGTGAAGCTTGAGGCGCGGGTCGGGAGAAGGAAACAGAAAGAAAAAAAAACTTAAGTCCATTGTTGGGATAAATGTTTTGAAATTTGTTGGAAAATTGGCGGAAGGAAGTTTGAAACTGTACAACCTTCTTCACGTGCTTACTCTTGACTCATGACAGAACCTTCTTTTATTGTAAGTTTGCTTACGTGAATTATTCGTTGTAATTTTGGTTGTAATTTCTTCTCCCATTTTTCATGAGATTTATTTTTCATTTGACAAAATTTCAGCCCTTTTACTTTTACAATCTGCAATTTAAATTAATTCTCGAAAATTTCTCCTTTTTGGTACTCTGTTTATAAATAAATAATCCTACCGTTGTCACTGTGAATGTGATTGATTTCACTATCAATCTACTTTCATAGATACTTTGTGTTTGTGAAGAAATATTGAGATCATTGATGTTTGGATCGAATTATATTATGCATTCACTTCAATCGTTCTAAATGAAACTTTATATGTATGTATAAATAATATCGTCGGGTGACAAATTACAACGTATTTAAATTATTTCCCGTATTCCGCCCTATTTCTCATCCCCTACCACCCATTAACAACATCATGACTTGACCTGAATTTATTTATTTATTTATTTAAACAGGAAATAAATAAACAGCGAAAGAATGTAAACAGTAGAAACATCGGTCAAGGTTTCACTTACTTTTATTTTTTATTTGGATCAGAAAACAGAATTTTGGAACAAAAGACACTTAAAAGGAGGAGGAAAATTAAATCACAAATGAAACTTCGGTGTTAAGAACAACTCGAATATATGTGTCGTGAGTTGGAAGATTTTATTTTAAGATTCTCACTTACACCAACTTAATAATGTATTACACGGCTGTTTTTAAATTTTTCCCTTTTTCCTCAACTTTTCTACTTCTAAATAAATATCAACGAATAACAACTTTGTGAGTTACTTTCTTCTCGTGCCGTCTGCTGAATATGAATAAAAGACGTAAACCTGTTAAGTAAGAAGGAAAAAATGAGAAAAGCACACACGAGTACGATCTAAAGCTTTCTACTTGTGACAAGACAAAAAACGAAATTTCTTTGGAATTTAGTGATAGATGAGAAAGGAAAATCGGGTTCCCCTGGAAAATTAACTACTTAAAAGAAATCAAGTATCTAAATCGAGCAAATTTCTTGTTAAAAATAAATGATAGATGTTTTGTATTTTCTATAAACAATCGACTCTTTGAAGTTCAGTCGTAAATTCTCAGAAAGCTTTACCTTTCTTTCTGACTACAAACTTTAAAATACAACAAGAACCTTAAAAGGAACATTTCACACGCTCACTTCAGCAATCTATTTACATAGAAGAACAAGAAAAAAGGAAAATAAGTAAAGCTTCTTCTTCTTTTTTCCAAAATGAGAACCGACTGATAATCTTCCAGAAAATTTGTTCACCGCAGTTGGAAAAAAAACAAGAAAAGTTTTTGAATTCGGAAAATTGAATAAGTTTCTGGAATAGTTTGCCTTTTTGTTGAACGAAAGTAAGTCAAAGAAGCATGTAAACACTGCTCATTTTAATTTGAAAACCTTTTCGAAGTTGTTAGTCCCCTTCCTTGTTCCATTGTTTCATGATAAATACATTTCAACAGAAGGTAAGAATGTTCCAAAGGGTGAGTTTGATGGCAAAAAAATCACAAGGCAAAAAAGGAAAACTTCTAGTATCAACTCGTAACCCTTTAAGTTTAAACAATGTGAGAAGGAAGTTAAGCCGAGTAGAAAGATAATGAAGCCTGAGGCTATGAATAAAAGACTAATAAATCTTTTTACTTTCAAATTCTTTATTACACACATCCGAATGGCTTACTCTCTTCTCTTGCAACAAAAGAATTCTTCTAAACCTGGAAACTTGATATTATTGTAGATTTTAGAATTTGTTTTTCGAAATATATCTAACAACTTTTAACTCCGAACCAACCTTTACCTTTTTTGTTTGCACATAAATTACACGATATCTAGCACAATATAATTAAAAACTTAAACTAAAGAAAAGAGTTGTCAACTATCTACTTGAACTTTTCATAAATGAATGTCGTTGAAAAAGAAAAAAAGGTTTTACAAAACTTTTCACAAATGTCGCAATGACTTGAAATACTTTTTCATGTCAGGTACATCGTTTCACCACTTAATTCATATGTGCATGATCTTATCCAATAAACGTTTTATGAAGTTTTTTAATTTCTGGAACTTCTTAGAGAAAAGCAAACGAGTTGAGTTTTCATTTGAAAGTTGATTTGCCTATTGAAAGTCCTAGAATAGAAAATTAAAATTCCCAAATCATTATGTAACTCTTCCTTCATTATTTGCCTTTAGCCTAACCTAGTCCCACGGTTAATGAGATTGAAATACTTAATTTGAAAATTCTTTTCTCGTTTCTGTTATTTGTCAATTCATCGTTGATAACTTCATAAATTATTCAGTATTTCTATCCGGTTATCATCGTCTTCTTAACGAATCGATTTCCATTATGCTGAAGCAGATGTCAGCCGTGACTGTGAGTAACGGAATGTCGTAAAGGGAAAAAACGATTTCAAGGACGCATTTCACGAAATGGTAGAGACGAAAGAAAATCAGTCAATCACAGTTAAAACTTTCCACAACTGATTGAGCTTTCAAACAACTGAATTACCTTGTCTTCTTGTCGGATTGTCTTATTTCCGATAATTGAAGGAAATTTTCATATTTAATCGAATGAAAAGAAATAAAGAAGTGTATAAACTGGATGAATTTCGGAAATTATCTTGTGATAATAACAAATATTCGTCGCTATCAAAATGGAATAAATGTTTACTCATTAAGTAGGCATTAATGAGAATGTCAATATATATTTATTTGTTAAGAAGAAGGTTGTTGAAGTAAGTGAAAAACTTTCCGTTTTCCCATGAAATTCGTCAAAATATTTTCCGAACTTAACACGAAACATTCGTGTTTTCTATTATCTAATAAATTAAATTTATTGTTTCTAACGTCTGCGAATTTAGCAAAGGGGAGAAGAAAGGTGCGTGCAAATATTTGCCGAACTCGCTCCTAAAACTAACAACCACAAATCTTAAATGAACCAAGCATCTCGCACATTGCCTCGAATCAACTTTTCATTTCTGAAATTGATTTCGTTTCGTAAAATTTCTTGATTTCTCTTCTTTTCAGAGTATTCCATTTTGCTCTTCATAATATAGCGATATTCATGTCACACATCTATAGATACATAACCGGAGAAACAAAGTGTAATTGATGTCTTCCGGTGACATGAATTGAAGAAAGAAGAATGGAAAAATGCCGTTACCGTTGAATGATAAAAATGTGAATTGGGAGGTACTCTGTGTGAAAATACTGTAGTGATAACGAGAATGAAAGGTTTTTGCTTCATATCGAAAGTGTTTGTCAATAACGATGACTTCTTCAAATCTCATTCTTCGAACTTTTATCATAAAATAAAATATTCAAAGAATTTCAATATACTTTTCATGAACTCGGAAATTTTTATTAATATCGCTGCATTAAAATGGTTTCAAGTGCATACAGAATTGCCTGCCATGCAACGTATCAAAGTTGTGACATTTTAACAAGTTTAAATCGCTTTTAGGTTGTCCATGAATTTTTATTTTGTACTTTTTCGGGATGTTCAATAAATTTTGTTTCAATGTTGTTGAAAATACCAAAAGTAAGAAAAGTTTGTTCTCTTTGCTAAATATTGACACATTCATAGTTGTCACCAGCACAGCCCATCTCATGTTCAGTAAACTCATATTTGTCTTCTTGATATTTCACATTCTTCCCTAAAATCGTGATGATGAATATTTCCATTGCTTGAGTCACATTTTCACATATTTCATAATTTCTGTTTGTATCTTTTGATTTTTTTTACTGTTTTCAATTTTTTCATAAACCAAAAAAAGATTAATATTTATGAACCAACTAGAGTAAACGTCCCTAATTCTGAACGGATTTAATTCCGTTTACAATTTTCATCAGCTATTTGTGGCTGACTGCATTTAAAATATTTTTATTTTAAATTTTTTTTGTATCAATCTGATGATTAACTTCCAGATTGCAGCAAAAATTTTTAATTAATTTTCCTTATTTTTATTTAAATGAATGATTGTCAATTTTGTGTAAATTTTGGCCAATTTTACATTAAAACTAGGTTTTTAAGGATCAATTTTAAACTTTGCTAAAGCATTCATTTGAAATCAAATGATGCAAAGTTACGGTAAATTTAATGAATTTTCATATTCTGAAAAGTTTTTTGCAAAAGTCCGTGAATGTAACGAGCTATGAACACATTTGTGGAAGGAAAAAAGTTCCTAATTTCGTATATGGCAGGGATCCAAATATTGTTTATATAAACCAAATATGAAAAAGAGCGAAAAAACTTAAACTATAAGGTTTAGGTAAAAAGCATGTATGGAAAAGTTGTTCCTTACAACACGTTGCAACTTTTCTTTTCATACTTTACTTCAGTCTCCTGCCACAGGATGGCGCTAGAGTTGCAAGAAGCGAAAAAAAATCAGAAAAACTTAATTATAGCTCAAACCATAAGATTTAGCTACATGGTGTATTAGGAAAAGTTGTTCCCTTATGTATGCTGCAACTTTTTTTAGTACATCAAATTTCGATAGGTTGGCACCAGATGGAGTTAGTGATGATTTTCAATGAATTGTTCATTTATAAATATTTTTTTCTGTTAACTTTTTCGTTTTCAAAAGCAGATTTAAATATAGATTTGTTAAATTATTTTTTAATTCGTTATTAACCTAATTAGTTTCCTTGTAAACGAGCAACAGAATTTTATAATTTTAAACTTAATGGCAGTTTTTCCTTCTCAATATGAGAAAACTTAGCATAGAAAACAATCTATCTAACTGTAAATACAAATCTAATTAACTAGCGACCAGTAATTATCTCAGAATGAAATTAAATACATAATGAAATCTTGATTTATCTCGTTGATGATAAAACAAGATAAAACGCGAAAGAAATTTTTCTACGTCATATTTTGTTCTGTTTCCTTACTCGGCGAATAAGTTCTCCCACTTATAGATGACGTCTACTTGAATTTTATGAAACTTCTTTATCGCATACTAATGAAACTGTAACACGCGCTTTCAAATGTTTTTTCAATTCACCTGGCACAACTTTCCCAGAACTTTTAAAAGACGTAAAAATTTGACGAATGAATAAATGTATTAAAAACAACAATAAAAGCCCTTTCTAGTTTCATTCTATATATATTTATATATCTATACGTTTATATATATACGTTAACTAGCTATAAGTTTAGAACTTTGTCGTCCTGAATAATAAAATTGGAAGAAAAACTTTCAAGTTAAAAACTCATTGAAGTTCAATTAAACAATTTGCTGTTGCAAAAAACATTCACATCACGATATTATCCTTTCAAGTCCTGAAAAACTTTCTTTCTCAATCATCAAAGCATAAAGTGAAATAATTTTTTTATATTTAGAAACATGATTTATTTCGAAATTTTAGCATACATACATGGCATATAAAGCAACACCACACAAATTTTTACCTCTGGCCAACTTCATGTAACCATCAATACCCCATGAAGTACCTAAATAACACATTTAGTCATTAATAATGTCAAAAAAACTATGAAAATCAATTTTACTACTCGCCCCACGAGTTACGAATTAACCAATAATTGCCATATTTATCATCAGTTCCATACCCAACAACAACAACTGCATGATCAATCCCCGTACCGCAAGTACTGTCACTGAAAACTCCACCACCATATAAAATGAAGTTTTTTGTTGCCTCTACAGCTACAACAATCGGACCATATTTAGCGGTAAGCTCCATCAATCGAGCTTCATTTCCTCCAAGTCTTTCTTCGCAATAATTTCCAATTCTTACTTTTGGAGGAAAACTTTCTTTACGACATGTTCGTTCAGCTTCTGCATAAACGTAACTTGAAGTTGCTATTCCATTCTGCTTTACATATTTGAATGAATTTGTTGGCCAACCACCTTTGAAATGAAATTTTAGTAATTAAATTTAACTTATAAATGAATTTTAGTTACAAACCTGAACATCCATGATCAGCAGTGCTACAATCAACCAAGTTCTGTTCCGACAAAGAAATGCTTACACCTTGTCTCAGAACGAGAAATTCCAAGCATGAAACAACAGCAAATGCCCAACATGAACCACAATCTCCCTGATCTTTAATTGGTTGAAATCCAGTTCCATCACGCCAATCAACTGATGCCGGAACATTATTTGGAACATAAGGAACTGCTGGTTCAACTGGAAGGCTTCGAGCACTTGGTGGAAGTTTCAATCCCATTCTCAATTCGATAGCTTCTTCAAAACTTAAATCAGCATTGTCCGATATTGACATGTAGAAAGTTTCTTCGCCTCTCGTGAATCGTTGATTGTGATTTTCCACTGTTATTTTGTTTTCTTTAAAGAATTCAGCTCTCATATCATCTTCACCATTACAATCTTCAGAAATTTCGTAATCTTTGTGGAATGTTCTCCTATAATTCTTGAAATCTTCACATTCAGCACTTTGAAATCTTTGCTTTCGCTTGGCATGTGGTTTATTACGACCCCATCCAAGTCTATGACTGGATATTTCCACCATAAGAATTGATAAAATTCCCACAAATAAAATCGATTTCATCATTTGATAAACTATAAATTACTGAGAAATATAATTTCAGTATTAATTTTATATACCTTCAGCTCTAAGACCAGATATTCCAAGGAATTTAATGACATAATGTTGTTGTTTTTAAATGAATTTTTTTGTTTTCACACTATGAGAATTGATGACGATTTGCTTCTGTCTTGGGGAGCATTCCATCATATCGAACAACATTTACACAAGTGAAATAATAAATACGTTGCGATAAAACCAATTTTGAAGTCATCGACTGAAGCCAAGGGTTATTTACAAAGTTATAGAAGCTAAAGCACCTGGAATCAAAGAAAATTTGATTAATCCATACAGAGATTTTTTGGTTAGTAAAATTCAATGTTATAAATATTTATGAAAAATAATTTTCTAATAAAACGAGTTTCTAAAATATTGTAGATGAAAAGCGAAAGTCTTAAGTCAGAAAACATGCACTCTTGTATGAATTTAAATAACAGAATAAAATATAATTTGAATGACACAAAAAATGAAAAGTCATGGAAATTTAAAATGTAGATAGGAAAATATCTCGGAATATTTAATTAAACAACACAAAAGGTGACTTTGCAAAGGAATCAGTTTCGAAAGGTTTGCGGAAGAGAATAATTTTCAAGATTTTTTACTTGAGCTCCGTTCTCTAAAGACTGTTTCACAATATTATGTCACTTGCTATGATTGCTAGTGGTAAAATATGACAGCTCATTCACTGAAGTTGTCCCCAAGGAAAGTTCCCATTTGAAGCAAAAACAAGTCATGATTTGTCTTCATCGTCTTTAAGCTTTATTGATTAATTTTTATGATGACGCGGTTCTGCTTTTACCATACCATCACTCAATAAAATTCGCTAAAAATTCATACAAACGCTTGTGATTAATAGACATCAACAGTATCATTTGCGTCTCACATTTATTAGAATACATCTGATTATTTCCTCTAGCAGTTTTTGTCATGCCAACTTATATAAAAACAGAAAAGGTTATTAAAAAAAAATGAACAGATTAAAATTCAAAAACCACCATTCAACGGCCACACAAAAATAAAATTTTAATCTCTTGAAAAATGAAAATGTTAGTTTACACAAGACCTTCGAAAACTTTTAAGCAGGCAAGCTTAAAGTTCGATGACAGTATTTGAAAGCTATAGAGAAATACAATTTTATTGGATATTTTATTGAACAGGTTACCCGAGCGGCACAAACGCACCATGTGGCACCGTTGGGATGATCTATCGGCAACTTTCAATTTTTTTTAGCTTTATGGCAGACCTATGCTAGATTTGTGAGAGACATTGCCGTGTGTGCCGCTCGGGTTAGTTACAACATTAAGTATGATGTATCATATAATTCAAAATTGAAGAAGATCAGAACTTTATTTTTAAAAGCGATAAAAAGGAAAGTTTAAATGGAATTTATACACAATGACGTTACATTTCCTTTTTCATAAAAATAATTAGATAAGTTGAAAGCTTCCAGAAAAATAAACACACTCAATTAAATGTATTCTTGTTCTATTACATGAGCAAAAACATTAATGCAATAAAAAGTATATATAAAAATTTAATAATAAAAAAATTAATAAAAAGTTTCAATAAAAAGTAAATATTTATGGTTAAAGTTCACTCGAGCTTTCTAATGTTTGATTTGCGAAGAGTCTTCGCCGAAGACAAATAAAACTGTTAGATAATCTCGAATGAATGCTGGACTTGTGTTAGGGAAAGTTTATCTCTGCTGTTTTATACAATGTCTGAATTCAAGAATGCTGCATGCAGATTTTTCTCGTTTTTTGTCTATTAACTTTCACATCGACAAGTAAATTTACTCGTTCACGTTGTGTCTTCCTTTTGTTTACATAATAACACAAAACTTATGTAAAATGCAATGGAAAGTTCATTCATTTCCTGCAGTCAAATACGACTCCCGGAGGCGAATTTTATATGTATTCAAAGCGAAGAGCAATTCAAAGTTTTGAAAACAAATAAGAAAGTAACTTTAATATTTACACTCAAATTATTTATTATTGTGTATTTATGATTATGAATCTAAAAAGTTTTAATGTTGAAAGAAAAGAAGTAAACACTAAAGTTTGAAATTCCTTGAATTTCCGTAGAAATTAGATTAGAATTATACTTGAAATATTTTCATAAATCTGGTGAAAAAATTACAAAAAATATGTAACTTAAGCTTAAGTAAAATGCTTTTGATGTCAAAAATCCCCTGAGTTGTGAACAAATCAATATTAATGTAACTTTTTCTGATGAGATACTAAACACATGCGATATTTGATGGTGAAATTGTATTTTCAAGCCATATTTTTATTGAAATAAGCCAGTAACTGGAATTCATAAATGGAAGAACGAAAACGTTTTCTGTTTCAATCCGCAACATCATAATTCATGTCATTGTCATTCTTAGCACTTTTATAAGAAAAAATTAATACAATTTTTTATGTAATGCATCTCAACATTCCTTTTTACTGAAAATCGTCAACGCAGAGTGTGTCCCTTCTCTTGTTATTATTATTGTGTGCTATTTATTCATTAATAAATACAAAATGATAATTTATATCTCGAAACTGTTTCTTCAAAAGCCCCAACACACTTTAAGTCTGGTTTCTATTATTTGTCTGATATCAGGTTTGTATGATTATTTATATTATGTCAATAAATTAACACTTTATTCATAAATAATTTAGTGAAAACATAAAATAAAATATTCAATGAAAAGTTTTTAAAATTTCCCGGATGAATCAAAAGGAAATCCTTTTTACTATACCTTGAGCCTATTAAAAAAAAAAAAACTTTAACTTTTGATAGGCTTAACTTGTTACAAACATTTTAAACAGAAGATTTTGATTTCATATTGAAAGGCAGATAAGTATGACTAAGAACTGTAAGAAGTGTCGAATGAAAAAGTAGATATTACATTCCAAATTATGTGAATGTGTTAAGAGACAATGAAATATTCGATCTCTCAAGCCATCCCACACATACACACTTCGTGAAATTTTTCTTAAAGCGACACCGCATGGTGAAGTTGGACGATAAAAAACGTGTTGACATTGATAGGATTCATATAAGAGCAGGGGTCGAAAGCTTAACGATTTTTCGCAAAAAGCTTCCAAGCTTCCGAAGCGGCTTCCAAAAATTCTGAAAAAGCTTCCAAGCTTCCGCTTCGGCTTCCGACTCCTGTATAAGAGGAAAGTTTTCTTTTTTCTACATTTCATAGAAATGGGGAAAGGTAAGCTTTAAACAAACCCAACTACAAGAAAAAAAATAATAAAGAAAAATGTTGAAGTCATCAACAGAACGAATGTCGATGATAAAAGAAGAAATATCCGAGAAATCTATTAAAAGGGTTGTCTGAAAATTGTTTTTTGTTCTTTGATTTTTTTTCCTTTTGCAACGTCGATTGATATTCCAATCATCAAACCTCAATTTATTATCGTAATTCTAGATTAAAGTCACCTATAAAAAAGAAAATCTCTAGAGTGAACTTCAAGCGAGACTCCCAAAGGGAGGTCAAACTCCAAACAGTCAACAATTTTTCTTTCCTTTCAGTATAATAAAAATGAAATGAGAGACCATAATCATTTATAATCAAGGATTAGCAATTGCTTGAACAGAATTGGCTCTATCCATGCAAACAAAAATATTTCGATTTCAAATTAAGCTCTAACTAAACTTTCACTATTTTATATTTAAATTCGGATTTAAACCATCAACTGAAATCCTCTCAATTTCATTTCTCTTTTCTTTCATTTAATTCAATTCTAAAACGTCGCTGACCCATTTCAATCTGAGTCTTACTTAAGCGCAGATTATTCTTCCAAACTCAAAATGTTCATAAAGAGAGAGAAAAACTTTCGATAAGATAAAATCTTCGAAGTTCTCGTTCATTCATGCCATATACCTTTCCATCCTCTGTCCTCGCCATGTTGTTTTCTCTTTAACAAGCTTTTCCTGAAATTTTATTTTATTTCCTGTTTTTGAAGATTTATTTTTCTTAATCTCTATTAATCCTATTGTTTTTTCTATATCGAAAAAGTTTTAATGGAGCTAACATGTCATCATCTCTGAAGCAAAGCTATAAAAAAATTCTCCCTTCTTATTTTGATCGTGTAACTTCAAAACGACATAAACCATTAACAAGCCCACTAAACAAATGACCCATCTCGTAATTTCAATTGCGTTTTTACTCTGCTCTTCACATCAAGCAAATGATGTAATGTAGGAAGCTTTTATGAGCTTTTCCACATTTTTCTTACCTTTTTTTCTTTCACTAAACATTACGAGAGCTAAACCAAGTGGCATCATAAACATAAAATAAGAAGTTACAACATCTCATCATTTGTTACCAGGTATTTAATGACAATGAAGATTGACAGAAGTGTTGAGGTGAATGTCGAGACCTTGAGAAAGTTTATGAATGTCACTCGAGAATTCTCATTCATTTAATAAGAGTCAATGTTGACTTTTGTTGAAGAGGCTTCAATGAGAATGAAACGAACATCATAAGAGAAAGGTAAGACAATTTTTTAAACAAAGGAATAATGTTAAAAGCACTTTCATAAAACCTTCTTTTTCTTCATCATTTTCATTTGAGGTTTTATTTACAGCAATTGTAGGAATAAAAATTAATCTTTGGAATTGAACTGCTGGAGAAATGTGTAGGCTTGGAATGATTAATTAATACCAAGCTAATTATAAACGTTTGAAAAATTCGTTGTATTAGAGCTTGATCTCGTTACGTCATGAGATCTGTAAGGAAAATTATCAATTCTGCAATATCATCTTCCTAAACTTCAATCAAATGTTTTTACTTCGATTTCCTTGTAGATAGTTAAATAGAAAGAAAATGGAAAAAATGTATCTTTCAATTTACTTTTCGACAGAATATATTTTCTGTTTGTTTTGATCTCATTTTCAATGAAGAAAACTCTACTCAAATCTGCTGATGAAAATAAAAGAAAATATAAAAGAAAAACTCTTTTCTAGTTCCATTTCTGTTTTCTTTCTAAAAACATCGAAACTTTCTTATTCGATGCTCGATTAAGAAGCGAAACAAAAATCATCCCATCAATCAATTCGTGTGGAGCGGAAATGATTAAAGGGTAAGAGTTTTTGGGTAGAGGAAAATTAATTAACTCGTTTTCATTTTCACTTGATATTCGTTTTTATTAGATTCTCGATAGTGGAATATTGTTAATCGCTATATAAAGAGTGACAAGGGCTTTTCCGTATATTTTCCGATCAAAATGGCTAAACGAAAATGTTGTTAAGTATGTAATTTTCTTTCGTCTAACATCTTAAATTGAGATTTAAACTCCCCTAGGTAATGTTCGCGAGATTGAATTGAGAACAAAGTGAATGATTGTTGAAGAAATAAACTTTTTCTTTCCATTTCAATACTTTCTTTTAAAAAGGATGTGAAACAAAAGAATAAAAACTCCTTCAAACTTTCTCATTTGCACAGAACATGCTCAGTTAATTGTGCGATCATTGAGAAGCATGAAAGTTGATTTCAGAAGTAAAACTCCATTGTTACATAACTTATTCTCAAGACATAAATCATATTGAGTTCAGTAAAGCAGTCGAAAATCGAAGTCAATATATCATGCCAATGTCAGATGGTTTCTAGGACATCCGGATTTTGTTCTGCTGGCTTGAATTTACACAAAATTATTAATAAATTGTAAGTGAGTTACTAAATAATTAAGAGAATAATACACAATTTGATAATTTTTTTTAAAGAAATTTTCCTCAGTTGGTTTTATTTAAAATTTTCAATTTATCTAATTAAGATCTTCTCCATAGAACGGTGATCAATGAATATTTCATTAACTATTTTATATAATTTTATTCCTTATATTTACAATATGAAAAATTTGATTACTTTACAAACTTCCTCTGTCTTTTTCATTTTGATTTTTCTTTTGGGTTTTCCTTAACTTGACAACAAATTTTCCCTCCTAATATATTTGAGCATTTTACCTCATCAAGCATTTTTCCGAATTATGATGTGACGTGAAAAGTTTAATTTCCTCCTCTCTAAGGAATAATCTGACTTCTGCTTTAAACTTTTTTTTTATATTCTCAGTTTAACATTTATAAATTCACTTTAATTGTTTACGAAACTGTAGATAATTTGAAACCAACAAACTCTCACAATTTTGGGTTTTCTCATATTGTTATTGTTGTTGATGTTATTTGCTATTGTGGGCTTTATTTGTGTGTTTAAAAGTTTATTGTAAAAATGTTTGAATCCAAAACTTTTCGAATGAAATGTTAAGCTCGCGAAATTACATAAAACATATTTATCTACATAAATACAATCAACTTAATAATTTTGAGAACATTTCTGATTAGTTTACATATCGTATATAGGAAAGCTTCTCTCTTTCTCTCATATTTGATGTAAATTAACACAAAAACATTAATCTAAATATTTGTTCAACAAATTCTATACATATTTGTAATTAAAAGATTAAGACTCTTAAAAAAGGCAAAGAAACAAAAATTAATTACTTGAAGCTTCCACCTCTTACACAAATAAAAAACAAAGAAATTATGAATGTGAGAAGCTCCGTCGTTTCTTGTGAAAGAATACAAAATTATCGATTAGAGAAACGAAAGATGGAAGGAAAAACAAACGATCATCAATAAAAGTTATGAGACGAAGAAAAAAATGAGAAGATGAAGCTGATGAGATTTATGGTTGTCGATAGAAAAAAAAGGGTTGAACTGTAGTAACGTCAAAGTTTCAGTAGTAAAAGCTTCAAATAACGAAAAATTTCATGAAACTTCAAAGGTAATAAATGATAGCGACGTCATTTGTCAAATTCCCTTCCGCACAATCTGTTTCATACTTTCTTCTCTTCCGTTTTTTTATGAATGTTTCAAAATTAATTACATTTAGCATCCGAAAAGATTTTCTTTTGATTCTATGAATGATTGTGAGGACGAACGAATGAACGAGCGTCGAACGTCGAGCCCAAAAATCTCATTAATGAGTTTTTTACGCGCAACCGACGTGGCGTCATTTGGCAGTTTTTTGATGACTCTTTGTCTGTTGTATGATAGAATCAGCGTGTCTAGGAAAGACCATGCGATGTTTGCGGAGAAATAAATGAGAAATCGCTTCTTTTATCTGTGCTTCTTAAGTGGATTCCAAAAATTTCAATTTGTTTTATTTATAAGGCTTAAAGGCAATGGTTTTCTTTTCCGTCTCTCTTATCTTTATCATTTCTTCTTTTTTATTTATTTCCTAAACATTAAATGAAACTCATGTCGCATCATTCTTGTTATTTGCTTCTTCCTTCTCATCATACGAGGGTTTCTGATAATTCACAGACGGTTTCAGAATCGATTGGGGCATCGTGACGGCTGGTGATAGTGCGGCAGGAATTGGACTCATTTGTTGTCATCCATAGAAGAACTGTTGATGTTGTGATGTGTTAATAGCAAGTTGAGGATTACGAGGATAAAAATTCACTGACATGCTTGTTGGAATTGATTCCACGAGACCAGATTGTGTTGGGCGACGAATCGTATGATGTCCCATAATTGAACCGCTCATGTAAGAAGATGGCGATGGAATTACGCTAACAAGCGTGCCACTGTCAGATGTAACGCTCCTTTGTACACCTAAATGTTGTCGTGGCAACGTTCGGAATTGTAAATTTGCTGAAAAAAAAAAACAAGGAAAGAAATATATATGCAGGAAGATCGTCTAATCAGATTAAAAGAATAAGCGAATAGGCGTTATCAAGCACACTTAAACTTATGAAAGACCATCTCGAAACCTGGCAAGATAGAGAAAAAGTAAATAAACACTGAGAAGCTGAAATTCATAGTCCTTGGAGAACTATCGATTGCCATTAAAAATTTCGCGTCAATGAAAAGCGTAATTAAATATCGCGATAAGCTCTCTCCCCTTCAAAGTCGTTAATTGCACGAATGTTAAATTAATTAAAGCCCTAACATTTGACGCTATAAGAAGTTGGAAAATTTGATAAAGAAAGCAAAAAATAAACTTTTCAGCAGTTTTAAGCATGAAAGGGAAGAATGAATATTAAAAAAAGAAGACGCTATGATCACAAATCATCTTCAATCATTAATTCTTATATTTATTGGTATGTTTTCTCCTTGAATCGCTTCAAGTAGAAGCAGAAGAAAAAAAAGTCTTTGTTTTGAAAAACAAGAATCGTAAAAGATGTTAAAGCATATTTTCAGTTTTCGTTCCTAACGAAAAAATACAGACGATGACGAAGGAATCTCTTTAAGTTTTAAATTCAAATCAAAATATGATGATGTAAGATGTTGCTAGTGTAAAGAGGTTTAGATTCTTTCCAAATTGTAACTTTCTTGACTGCGAGTCATCATCAAAATGATTACATTGAGTCAACTCTGTCTACTGATTGCACAAGCGATAAAAAAAATTAACTTGAACTTTCACGTTTCTAATAAAAGTAGGTGGTAACATTATGAAAATAAATCTTGATTTTTCATCGCGCTCTGAAAATTTATTGAAAAGAATCAGCAATCAAAACAGTAAAAAGGAAGGAAACCTCCATGTTATAATGGAAATTAATTTCATTATTAATAAGCTTGTGCTTGAAGACTTTCCAATTCTTAAATGTCGAAAAATTTTAGCGTCTATCAACGTCCGTTTCCTTCAATCAAATCTTACCTAAATTGGATGGTGATTGTGTTAATATTGATGGATTGTTATTTAATCCACCCGATCCTATTAAAATTGATGATGCTTGTTGTTGTTGTTGATGTTGAATTGCCGATGGCGGTCGAATTAGTAATGCGGATGAACTCGTTGGTACAATGCTAACGTAGGGTGCGAGTGATGGCGCGTACGTGTTAAATGATGATTTCTGATGAAGAGAAAAGAATGTATGAAACTCATAATCACAATGGCATGAATACGACAACAAGCGTCAACACTCTAAAAGCATGATAAAACATGGGCATTTATCATTAGAATTTTTTTTCCTCTCTTTCTGCCTCAGCTTTCATCTGCCAGAGTCTTGCCCAGAGTCATCAAGAGAGAACCATCAAGCACTTTATGAAAACACATCACAATTACAATTTAGCAAAGTCATCTCAATTACCTCATTCTTCACCGGAAGATTACTCATTCCCATGGGTTGAGTAAGATCGATATCACCACCTTCCATGTCGCAAATGTTATCACCCGAAAAGCCTTTCGTGATTGTCGTTTCACCCGTGTTTGATTTGTGGAATTTCGGTTCATCTTTTGATGATTCATCAGCATCATCGTGTTGCTTCTGAATTATTATTCGACCAGTAATAATAATAAGACAAAGCAAGACACCGATTGTTACAGAAATGATGAGATAAAGATAGTAGCGCTCATGATGTTCTGCAATCATAAATAAATTGGAAAAGTTTATGATAATTGTTCGCAATATTTCACGTCTGGTTTTAGTTTTCGACGAACTTAAGCACCATATGAAAGGATTTTTTATTGTTTTAAATAAAACGACGAATGAAAAGTTTGTCTACATGATTATTAAGACACTAGAAAAGAAAAACTTTTTAAAACTTTTCCATTTCAAAAATCAACACTTAAAATTGAAGTTTTTTCGCTCAAAGTTAAGGACGCAATTTCAAGAGACATTAATGAGTTAGAAATGTAAGAAAATAAAATTCTAAGTTGAAATAATAAATAAGTTGAAATAAACTTATAAGATGAAGTTACCCACCAAAACTAAGCATTGACTAACTCTAACTTTATCATTTCACGTGTCTTATGCATTCTCATAATCACCTTTTCAACGAGATGAGAAACTTTCCTTAGGAAATTTCCTACGTGCCTCGTAAAAGAAAAAGAAGTTTCATTTGCTCGCTTCAGAAAACGAAAGAGACAAGAGTTTGAGATGAGACAACTTGACAACCACACTGTGCATTTTTTCCCACCATAATTTTCTTATCGAAATATAATCTGTTTCTTTCTTCTTTCTAAATATTTCTCATCTCGCTTCTTGGCACTTATTATGGATGCCATAACACCAACTTATAATTCTTGACAAGACTCATTTTCTTCTTACGTGATGCTTACGCCTTCTTGGTTTGTCTTCATTGCTTTCATACTTTCTTTAGACTTGACGAAGTGCGCCACTTTCATCCCTCCTACAAAATTTCATATCCCCAAGGTGTCATAAAAAACTAGTAAATTATATTTGCTTTTATTATCTTATTTCTCCCGTTTATGCCACGATCAGAGATGTTTTATGAGTTGAAAAGGTGCGAACTCGATGACTTGTGGGTTTTTCCGATTAACAAGCTTTTATTTGTCAGGTTATTAAATTATTTTTCTTACAGTAGATAGTTTTAAAGAGGTATCCAGTGGTTGGCTATTCAATCGATCTTGAAATTTAAATTTTTTAGATAATTTCACCCTCAGAGCTTGCTGATCTTAAATCCATGCCTAACTCTGACAGTATCTTTACTTTTATTTTAAACAAAACTTCTCTTTTTTTATTCCGCTTTCGCATAATTTCTATTTTTTTCATCTTCTTGTGCATACTGAGAGCTTTAAAAACGATAAAATTGTACGTTATTCCATCCTTAGGCAAACGAAAAGCTTTTGGGCTAATAAAATAAATAATATCACGTGTTCATCTGATTCTTCTTTTATTTTAGTGGATGAATCTACATAGGTTGGGTAGCAATAAAAAAGTTTGTTTGGAAGAAGATACAAATATGTATTTAGGATATGAAATCCAAAGCGTACGGGATATCAATTTGAAGTTTTTCTTACAATGAGATTGTAGCGAAAATGTCTCAGCACATCATCACAACTGTCAACTGAATTCGAGAGGTTTGCAGGGGTTTAAAAATAAATAAATAAAAATAAGGCTCGATAGACATCCAACGTCGTGAAAGATAAGGTAGAAAATTCATAAAAATGTTTACTGCCATTTAAACAGGTTTTCGACTTTCTATAAAATTTTTCATGATGATTTTTCTGGTGAACGAGATTTTTAACGAGAGAGCTTGTTAGTGAAGGGTGAAAGCAAGTAAGGAAGTCAATCTGAATGAAAAGTGAAAACAAAGCTGCAGAGCGACGGATTTTTTGAACTTACAAACATTCAAACTTTTCTTTTTTGAAACTTTGAAGAAGCTTTAATGACATAAACGACGAAGGAAAATTCTTTCTTCCTTCAAGCCTCCAAACTTTTATGTTTTGCTGAGTGGAATAAAAATTTATGTGAATTAATGGATAAAGTAAAGAAAAAAACAGTTTAAGTTTGTATCGTGACAAAAATACTTGACGAACCATGCAAGCGTTAATTATGATAACAAGATGAGAATTTTTTTTATAGATCTATTTATTCACAAAACATATTTATTACGTTCCAGGTAGCATAATCTCAGCATTTTCATATGTTAATGATTTCACCTACTGACTTAAACACATCCCCTGCCTCATAAACTTTATTTACATTTCAATCATCTATTTTCCATTCTCCGTCGTGTTTGCTTTTCATTTCATAAAAAATATTTTTTTCGTCGTCACACCAAGTTTTATTTACGCGTTACAAACATCGCATCTGAGTTTAATTAAGCTTGACAAAATAATTTTCTTGGAATTTGATAAGATGTGACGTAAATAAAATTAAATGAAATTAATGAATTTTTATCTAAAATTTCGTTTTCTACTCGAATTTCTTGTTATTTTAATAAGCTTCAATGTCATCCTAAACAGAAACCTCAAGCATTATATTTGACTTAACAATTTGCTTACATAAACAAAGACTTGTTGTATTCTCTTAAATGACTGATTTAATCAAATTAATTTGTGGCTTCATGTCATAAAGTTTAATGATTCATAAACGAATACCTAATTACAATTGTCATAAGAAGATTTAATTTTATGTAAAATTTGATTAACATGGAAAATGCATAATCGATGACGAATCTTTGATAAGTTTGGAAGTTCAATAATTAAAATTGAGTTTCTGTCATACCAGACGTCATGCCATTTTCTATTCTTTTGGTTCTTTTGATTTCTCGCTGCATAACATACTTAGATCAATACGTGCTTTTCAACAATCGTTGTCAGTACCCCACATAGCATCGTTAAAGCTCTGTGCCATTTTCCATTGTTATTTTACTCGTAACCAACATAAAATAAATTAAAAGTTCTAAATATAAATTCATTTGACATCTGTGACCTGAAACTTTTGCATTGATCTCGTATGTGATTGCCCTCATTCATGCACTTTCTAACTAGTTATGAATTCATACATGTCGTTTCATTATAGATAGTGAACCATATTAATTAGTCACCTAAGTATGTAATCAAAAAGAATTTAATGAAAAGAGAAGAATATTCTAAAATGTTTGTCTTATCTTTGCAGGTAGTGATTCTGTAAACTTTCATTATGCATTAAATGTCGTCTACGTTGGTGAACACGTCAGCACAGTTAAGGATAAAAAACCATTTCCAATTAAATGTAATTAAAAATTTTTAGTTATTAATTTATGTTTCAGTTCCTTTCATTTAAACGGTGTTGCCTAGAAAGAGATTTATCAGCAAGGAACCAAACGTTGAGAAATTAAATTCATTTTTCATTTCGTCTGCAGACATCTTTAGACTTTACTCATTTATTGTAGGATAAAATAAGCGAAATTATGAAACAAAATGAATATGCGTTGAGTGATTTTAATTAGTGTCATTTTTATCGTTGACGATGAAAGATTGGCGAGCAATGTCAGGTTACCTACTCATTCCAAAATGACAAAGTGGATGTCACAACCTGATGTGCTTTTTGCTAATTTTAAAGGTTTTTCTTCATAATCCTCTTCGCTTTCCTTTCTAAATTAAAAATTAAGAAGAATTTTTTTCATAATTTTCTATTAATTTTGATGAATAATTTTTCACGCCAACAACTACATTCGGAACAATTTAATTTCCTTTCATTATCAATCGCTTTTACCTTTGTCTCGCTTTTTCCTTTTTCCAGATGCATGATTTTTTATTTTCAATCAATCTTTTTAATTGATAAGCAGTTTCGTTTTTGACATCGGAACCGATAGCACTCAAGGGCGAAAGAGGGTTGTGCAAGAGTAATTGTCAGCATGATTCAATTTTTTTCTTTGCTTCCTACACTTCCCTTCGTCAAATGGCGAATGTGAAATTGACCGTGATTTTTCATTTTCTTTTTCATTTGCTAGAAACAGAGTAAAATGGGAAAAGGACAAGCTCTGATTCTGACAGAAATAATTTGTTTAATTTTTTTTTCTTTTTTGAACTTTTCGTTGGTAGACTGAAAAGGTATTTTTGCTACCCATGAAATTGAAAGAACAAATATTTTAATTTAATTTTTTATTTTTTTTTCACAGAACTTTCAATGTCATTTCAGATAATTTTTTCTCCTTCGTTCTCATTAATATCTTGTCTTTATTCATTTCTTTTCGATTGCGTTTAAATAAACCTTCTGTTGTCCTGGGAAATAAGTTAGAAGCAACCGTCATTATCTGGAAAGAATTTCTCGGAAGGAAATTAAGTGTCAAGTGAAAATGAGAAGATTTTTCTTCTAAAATTCCCATTCAGATCTTTGTATCTTAAAACATAAAAATGGAACCACAATATCATTGCATTGTTTCCGTCTCTCTGTCTCACTCCCTCTCTTTCGTTTTCTTAAAACACATTTCATCCCTTCCTTAAACATTAAAGCATTCTTGACGAAAAATGATAAGATTTGAATAAATTTCCCAAGAAAATCTGAAAAGTTATTCGAGTGTGTGTGATTCGGAAAGTTTCACAAGGATATCCTTTGATTTTTCTATTTATGTCTCAATAAAAACTCTTTTGTTTCTTCTTCTTCTGACTGGGCTTATTGTCGTATATACACTTAAAGAAACCCTTCCATACATCCGAAACCTTTTTTCCTTTAAAAAACCCTTATCAAAAGATTTGCATGATTTACAATTTCATCATTATATAGGAAGAAAATATTTTCTCCTAAAGTTTTCTAGTTTGAGAACAACTCACCTTCAAGCGATGAATCGTCTCGATTTCTCAACGGTGGTCGTACCGAAGATGATTGGACAGTTATGATGGACGGGATAATGTCGGTGCCTCTTTCTTTGGCCAAATCACCTTGAAGCTTTGGTTCAGGCGGTATCGCTTCCGGTTCCTTGTAGAATTGATCGTCATCATATAATTCATCATGGTCGTGGTCGACATCATTCTGATGCGGTTCATCGGGTTCAGGCGGTGTATCGAAACGATCCTTAAGTACTTTTTTGGGCACTTTTAGAGAGAGGAAGAAAAAAAAGATGACGATGACGAGAAATCGAAATCCATGACGCGAAAAGACTTTAAACAAAGAAGAAGAAGGAAAAGTCTTAAAAGCTTTCTTAAACTTACCACATGTGTAAACAACTTTAAGATACATTCTCATCTCCGGTTTACATGGTTTTCCAAACGTGCCACTGTCGGCCGTCAGAGAACATTTTCTTTGGCCATGACAAATCTTCATAACGGTCTCAGTGGTTCCTGGAGCTGGTGGACATGCTAGAGAGAGAATAAATATTTAAATAATAGTTCTGGGACACAAAGTAAAGGCAAAGATAATTTTCTGCTCACGTTCGAAATCTTCTTTGACACCACCAGTTGGTTGTGCACATGTTAAGCTTTCATATTCTGTTCGACCATAACTGGCACCATAAATTGCAATTCTTGAGTATGGATTGCACATAAGCTGAATAACATCGTTCTCACATGCGACTTTGCTACGAAATTCGTCTGAAAAGTACGATGATAATTTTGTTATGATCATTTAAAATTCAATAAGCTTTACTGCACTCAATCAACAATGAAATTTAAGCTTATTTTCTCTCAACCGAAAACATTATTTATTGAACGCCATAAGCTTCTTACCGAGCGGTTTCCATTTCACTTAATTTGAATAAAAGAAAATTATTCAGCTTTTTAAATACTTACAAGGTCTGCATTTATAAGAAATTTCCACAAATTTTCTCACTGCTGGGCAAGGATCTCCTTGAAGTGTCTTTGGTGATGACAGAAATTTACAATGTCGCTTCTTTTGACATGCTTCGACAACAGTCTGGAGTAAAGAGTACTGCAAAAAAAAGAAAATTAAGTTAGCTTGTTTGCATTCAATGCATCATGATGAACATAATTCAATAATTCTAGAAGATGGAAAAATAACAAAATCGTTGAGTTCATTAAACTTTGTGAAGATTTAATTTGCTTAAACTTCTAGACTTGTATCCATTAGAAGTTCTATTCAATAGTACGTACCTACCTATATGTAAGAACAATTTTTACCTCAGAGGCAAAATGCAATTAAACTTCTGATTTGCATTAGTTAAGAGTTAATTGCCGTATAAATAACGTGAAAAGTCAAATATAATTTACATTTATCAAAAATTTCTATTCTATTTTTAAATTGAAATTGTTATGAAAATTTTAAATTCAAAAATTTTTGTAATTAGAAAATATTGAGATTTTTATTAATTTTTAATTAATATAAAATTTGGTGCTTTGATGTAATAAAATTATTCAGGAAATAATCAAGTCTGAATTCAAATAGATCTAATTATTTCTTTTTGTACTTCGATTTTAAAGCTAAACAAAAATGTTGAAACTTTTCCCAGAAAGATGTTGAAATTCTTTTTCTTTTTTTAATGTTCAAACAGAAGTAGGCACCTAAATTAAAAACCAGGACCACAAATTAAAAGCTTAATTAAAGTTTTGATGAAGTTCTCTCAATTCGACACAATTTCGACCGTTTGCGAGTATAAAACATAAAACGTTCATGATTATTCCGACTTTTAATTAAAACAAAACACGAAATACGTTGTTGTGTGCTGAAACTTTTTGCTATATTCAGAAGTCTATTTCAATTCCCAGAATCTTCTTCGTTTGGATAAGGATGAGTTGAATTAAATTATTTTTTTATCATTTCACAAGAACATACATACATATCTGTGTGCATATATCTTAAATAATTTCAAAGTCGCTTTACATATTCATGCAATCAATTCATTTATAGATAGAATTCTCGCTGTCAGGTTTACATAACACCCACGAGCTTTAAAAAATTTTATGTATGACATGTTTAAAAATTCATGTTGAGGCAGACAATCAAAAACCTATTTTATTCTTAAAATTTGTTATGCTAAGAACTTTTTGTTTTTCTGAAATTAAACTCAGCAGTTATTTTATAATTGAATTGTAAAAATAGTTATCATAACAAACGTGTAAGTTTTATTGGTTCGGACTTTTCCTCTCTAATTTTAGACGCTTTACATAAATATAAAATTCATTTTATATAGGTAGTTAGTTTCACAGTAGTTTGTGGATTTTTAGATACTAAGCTTGTCATTGGAAAAGCTCCTGTTATACAACTGAGAGCTCTCTAAAAGCTATTCCAACTTTATCGTTTTGCCTCGTCTGCATTGAACTACATTTTTATGTAAATTAAATTTCTGCAAATCATTGGTTTTCATTTTTTCTTTGAAATACTATGAATGCGCTGTCCCATTCATATCAAAATTAAATTTATTCTTAAAAAGTAATCGAGAGTGAAACATTTTAAAGCATTTTTATGTTTTTCGAAAAGAGTTTAAGATTTTTTATTCAAAATGTAATGTTCAGTAACAATTTGCATTTTATAAAAAATTTCAACTTGCAATTCAAAAATTATAGAAAGGTGCAAGATTTTCAGGAGCTTCAAATGTGGTTTAAATTGCATGTATTTGGCTTCGTTACTTAAATACGAAACTGTGAAAGTTGCTTTTTATTATCTGAAACTATTTATCTGCATAAATACCTGATTTGATCGTTTCTAGAAGGTAAAAGTTACATTTCACGTTAAATATTTCGCTTGATTTTCTCCGCTTTTCTCCCCTACACGACTCTACGCCAAAAAGCTTAAATTAAATGAGCTAGAAATTTTTTGTCAATGCTCTAAAATTTTCCAATTTACCAACGTGATATCATTACAAAAATCGAAAGAGGCGAGAGATTAAATATAAATTCAATTATCGCCTGACATATAGAATGAAGCGGAAATTGAAAGTATCTAAAGGGAAAAACTTTCTTCATTTTATTTTCAAAAGCAAAAAATTTGAACGCAACTTGGTATGGGGAATCAGTGTCATTTTCATTTTATATTTTTCAGAGAATTCCATCGATTTAACCAAATAAAGTTAGCATTTTCATTCTTTTGTTTTTCAACCAATAGGATTATTAACAAAAAGGCAAAAGCTTGGGTAATAAATCAATGTGAAATGTTGATGAATGCAATTTAATATTCAATATAAATTTGAAATAAAAAAAGCATTTTCCTTGAAAAGTACTTCATTTTTTTTCGAAGAAACTTTGAGTGTCTTAAACAAAATAAACCATATTTGAAGAGTAATTAAAATACTTGATTCTCCCGCACAAATATTTATTCACTCCAAAACGAGTCAACATTTAATCTTTCTAATTTTAACCCTTCAAGGCTTGAGGCTTCACTAAGAACCTCATAAATTCCTCTTTTATCATTCAAATTGCTCGTAAAAACTTTTGTTGCCGATAAGAAGGAGTAAAGAAGGAAGAACAAGAGTTAAGTAGAAAGATTCAATAAAAATTAAAATGCTATTACATGTCAAGCGTAAGGGAAAATTTCAAGTGAAAGAAAATAAGATAAAAGGGTTAACGACTCAATCAGCTTCTCTTTTCCTTCCTTTCCTTTTAGTTTGATTTGTTTTTAAGCTTTCTGAAAGCTCCGTTATTATCTTTCATTCAAACAGAAAAAAATTAAGCCATTGATCTCATCAGATACGAAGAACATTCTTAAAATAATTAAATAAGTAATAAACATTAAACTTCTTTTCTTTCCTTAGCTGTTTCATTTTGTCGATATTCAATAAACTCTTCGCTTCCATTGAGTGCCGCAAAAAGCTTCAATTAAGCCTTTTCTTTCGATAGCGATTTATTTAAAAGTAGATATCTTGAATGAAATGTCTGTGGTAGATGAAAGTTATTTTCAATTGAATTTATCTAATTCTTAAAAAACTTTCATTTCAATACTATCAATTGGCAATACTTGAAACCAAATCGAGATCATTGACAAGACGAAATTGAAAAGCTCTATTCAAGTTTCGGTATGTTGTCGATAAATACGAAATAATATGAGAATAAATACAAATGAAAATAAAAATGCTTCAGCGAACGAAGATATGTAAGAAGGTAATAAAAAGAATTAAATATGTTTTTATAGCCTTTCGCCGCGGCGCAATTTTTCAATTCTTTTCGCGTAATCATGGCAAGAAGTATTTCTCTCATCTCCATAAAAGGGATAAAAAATGGGTAAATTTTTTTTGGTTAAACAGCGAATACGATGACTAATAATTCACTCTTCTCGCTGGAGTTGTTTGCAACATAATTTATAGATGAGTAAAACTCACTTCGTTCTTCCTTCTTCTCACTTTTGGAGATTTAAAAACAAAAAAAAAATTCTTCCATGTAGGTTAAAAGAAAATAATAACTTACGAGCTCCTTTACTTTACTTTCAGTCCGGGCGTCATTATTCACCCGGACAGGAGGCAAGAAAGGTGGAAAATAGGTTTTTTTTTATTTGTATTTTCTTGGCTCGACTGGCTCTTGTAGGTTTCTCAAACAACACTGTGGATGTTGTGTTTAGCTTCATTGTTTCTTATTTTGAATGCTTTTTTCTTCTTTCTTCCTTTCTTCGTTCTTCCAAGATCCATAAAGATTAAGGAAGCGTAAGTTTATGGCGTTGACTGAAGGTTTAGAAATATTTTTCTTTCATTGTTAACTCGTTCTAGTCTATCAGTTTCAATACAGAATATTAATTCAAGGAAATTGATTTAATGTTCATGCTTCTCGTGAAAACATTCACTCAGGTGTACAAGAAACCAAAGAAAAACTGCTGAAGTGCATTTTTATCAAATGTTATTTATGGTGACAAATTTTATTCCTTTTCTTGTTCACTATTTTTAAAAAGCGCTAGCAAAACATGAAATATTCATAACGATGGAAGAAAAAGTTTTCGAATCATAAGGAGGATGGTAAGAAAATATATTTATGTATTTTTCATGGAAAAAGATGAAAGTGTACGGAAGAAGTTTATGAATTTTTAAGATAAGTATGCGACACTGTTGGTTGTATCTTAAAAATTAAAGTAAAATTATCTCAAGTAGAAAAAGCATCAGCATCAACATCAACTTCAAGAACAAAGAGAAAAATTCATGCTTTATTGTCTCAACTTGAGAGGAGTTTTTTTTCTTCTTTCTTTCATTTCATCGCTAAGTTTCTTCCTTGCTTTTTCCTTACTACATATGAATTGACATATTTACGAACTTCTTGTTTATCTTTCCATCCATGACAAACATTCTCAACTCTTGGGATGAATTGAATCGAGAAAAAGGGATAATTTTCATTTGTTATCACACACGTATGTAAAATATCAGTTGGGAAATGTGCGAGAAGAAAGAAAAATAAGTGTTACAAGAACATTCAAAACGCTTCTTCAATCCTTTGGATATTCAAAGCTGTTGGGAAAACGATAGAGAACTTTCTTTCTGACTATCACAAAGATTATAACCCGACATATATTTGTGAAGAAACCGGAAATTTTATCTCATACTAGATCATATCAAACGATAAAAGTCAGAATGCTTGCTTTATGTTCATAAATGTTTCCTTGATTCCTGAACTCCCTTCAAAGGTGATCCTACGCTTTTCTCTTCATCTTTATTGATTTCTTATATCGAAGCCATGTAAAAGGAAGCTCAAACCAATCAAAACAAGGTTATTGAAAAGAAAAGTGGACCACGTTTCATTAATATTCACAGTGCGTTCATTTTCTTGTGAAAAAAAAAAACATTTTTTTCAAACACCCAAACGTTAAAAGAATTCATTGGAAAGCACTCAATCATTTTTTTTTTTCTAAAGATTCTTCTGTAAACCATTCAAGCGGAAATATATGAATTTATTTCTTCTTCGTTTCGTCCCAATTTTCTTTTTCAGTATTTTGTTTTCCTTTCTATCCGTTCCTTTTTCATGATGTTTCCATCGTTTTAATTCTTATACATATTTTTGTATGGTTGTTTGTGAAATCACTCAGCAAGTGATATCAGCGAAATGTAAATAATATAAAAAGGAAGATTTCACAACATAAAAGATCGAAATTTACTGCCCACAACTTAAGATGATGATGAGGTGGGGCTGGGAAATAAATCACTTTTCTTTGTGCAAGTTATATCAGCTTTAATTGCTTTTTTTTATCTCCCTTGCACAATCTATTTTCTATAAGTTATGATTAGAATATTTTGCAGAATTGCCAGAAAAGCATGAAAGAAAATTTATTTTTTACTTTAAATGCTAATTTTTCGCTTAGTTGCTTCGATTCCTTTGAATTCATTAAAATCTAACAAGAAGTTTAATGTACGTGATGGTTCCTCAAGATTGTTCATGTTCTTTATTGTCTTCTCTGATTCAGCTCATTCAAAACAGTTCTGAAACGCCACCAAAAATAAATTTTCATTTTTTTACATTTCATAATATGCCGCATAAATTGAAGAAAACAAAAAGATATTCAAAAACTGAAGATTCGCAAATTGCGTCATACGAAAATGAGTAATTGTAAAAAAATACTTCCATTTGAGGCAAGAAAAATATAAACTTGAAGGAATAAAAAGCAATGTGCAAAAGGAAACAAAAAAACTTCTAAAAATGAAAATAAAATGAAAAGAAAATTTTTGTTGAAGACAAAGCGTCGTGTTCTCGGCATCTGCTTACAACAATTCCAACATACGTTGAAAAATGGTTGGAATCTAAACGGTAGAAAGAAAAACCCTATACAAAAGAAGAAAAAAAAGGCTACCTAACTCTTTTACATAGGTAATTTATTTTTTCAGAAAATTCATTGAAAATGAGTACCAACCGGAACGGTGGAAAGGAACAAAATTTCCATTAAACTTTTTAAAAGCCAGAGAGAGAGAGAGTAAAAAATGAATTTTTCATTTTATCGCCCTGACATCATATTTAAAGCTAAGTTGCTGTTTATAAATTTTGAGAACACAATTTCTTGAACAGTTACCTAAAAATCACGTTTCGCGAAAGTCAATGCAATTATTGTTAACATCAACTTGTAGACGAGAAAAGTCAATTGAATCAAATATAAGCCTCGAAACACGTTTTACGTCTCGATAAAAGGAGTTATGGATGAGAACAAACCACATGCTCATGAGTTTAACAGTATAAATTAATAAAATTCTTTGTTGCTTGCAATAAATATTCCTGTATGATGGATATTCTTATGGTTCATGCAAGTCGTCTTAATTCTCGAATAAAATTTAGCGAATAGTTCGATATTGGAAAAGTCTTCAAAAATATAAAATCATCATAAATATTTATCAACTTACACTCAATACGTTTGGCCAAGAACACTTTTCTGGAGCTTTGATTTCTATTTCAGTTCCAGCATTCACAACACCATCTTGAATAATATTTTCCGTCACAGTTGACACGCATTCGTTTTCCATTGATGTTGGCATATATTGTGCGACATCTATTGATATTGATGTCCCTCGTGGGCAACTGAGTGTTATTGGTTCATGGTCACAACCTGTTCTTGTGTAGGTACGTAAAGTTTCTGATAAAAGAGCTGCAATGATATACGAAAACAAAAATAAATCTATTTAAATCACATACGTAAACAAATTTAAAAACGAAAATATTAAACTTTTTCCAATTACAAGAAAATCTCAAAAAACTTTCACTGCTAATGACTTTATCTGAAGCTTCAAGAAAGAAGGAAACTTTTTGAGAAAATTAAATTTCCACAATCTTGTAATCTAAAAAAAACAAAACTGGTAGGAGTGAAGCGTGAGAGTTTTATTAAAAGCTTGTAACACGATAAAATATCTCAAAAGCTTTCAAAATCCACTTTCCATACTCATAAAAAGTAAAAGAGTAATTATATTAACTCTCACTGTTCCACGGGGTTTGATTAATTAAGCCGTAAACGAGAAGAAAAATTCGTTTTGTGGCCGTAGATCCGTCTGTTCAGAACCAAAAACTGTAATTAATTGAATTTAATGATAGTCATGAAATCCTTTTTTCGTGGTTCTGTTCTCTTTTTCATTTTCCTTAACCGTGTCATAAATTTCATTTGTGGAAAAATTTTCGGTAAGAGGAAAAGATTTTCATCGAAAAAAGCAATAAAAATTATGTTTGCCTCTTCCTTTCATCTATGATGTTTCATGGTTAAGAGAAGAAGAAAAAGAGATGGGGGATTGAAATAAAAATAAAGATAACGATGATATTATGGAACGTTATGATAAATGAGATAACATTTCATACAGTAGCTGTTGGATCATGAATGTGAAGGGCAAAAGGGTCTTGTTGACATTACTTCCAATAATTTCTCTTTCCTCTTAATAATTCAAATGTGTCAAGGCTTGAGTATCATACTAACAAAGATCGGAATTTGTCGTAATTTGGTAATGAAAGTTTGGGAATGTTATAAAACTTCAGATATTAAATTAACAAAAACACAGACTTTGCATAAGTTGATATTTTAGTGAATATGATTCATTCTCTTCTATTCATCTTGAAACAAGATTATGAATTTCTGAATGTTTAATTGAATTATACTTGTGATGTTTCTTCGCTAATTCTCTTGTCATTTCGGAGATTATCGCAAAAAGAAAATTAAATTTTAAAAGAAAGTTTTGACATAAACAGAGTTAATTGATATGAAACGAACAAACGGGTAATGTAATGTCTTGAAGCCGTCTTAGAAACGTTGACTAATTACAATTAAGAAGTCATTTGATATTAAGAACTGCCGGAAAACAAGCTTAATTATTTAAATTGAAATCACGTTTCTAGAGCGTGTATAAGAGAAACTTGAGCTGTTTATTATCACTCAATCATTGCAAGTAATTTTTCAATTCCTTAATCTCTCTAGCTCACAATCTCTCACGCACATATCAAACTGTTGTTGTATTCAACAAGCAATTTTCATTCTATTCAGTTAGAAATACTATTCGCATTCACTGAACAATAAACAAATATGAAATGACAATGCAGAAAACTCCAGTATAACTAACTAGAAATGCAACAATGCTGAGCAATGAAAAGGGGATAGAAAAACTCTTAAATCACTTCTTAAACCTTCTTAAACCCTTCAATTTATCATTTTCATAGAGCATGATTTAACAGTTTTTCATTTATTTCGAAGATTACAAGAAAAAAATTTAGATGGAAATTCTTCGAAAAGAATTTTAAATTTTGTTTTTCCAGGTACCAAAATCGCCGAAAGTGAATGTTTTTTGCTTATTAAAATACAATTTAAAGTAACACATGCAAAAGCGACAAGAATCTTGTTCAGTCATGTTATATTTACACCTACGTATTTAAGCTTACTTTAACCCAAACACTGATTTAAGGTTGTTATACAATTTAAGTTATTTCTAGTAAAAGTTAAGCATGACCAGCTAATAAAATTGCAATTCTTTCTAATTCCAATTATCGTAAAACTTTATCTTTTTGCCTACACAAAATATTTTCATGTCCAAAACCCTGATAGTGGATGGAGAAAGGTTGGAGAACATGTGTTTGCATTAATTTATATTATTCAACAATGAATTCTTCTAACGAAAGCTGTTGAAATAAAATCTATCATTGGTATTCAGTTGAAGGTGGACATGAAAAATCGAAGCTAATAATAGAAATCATTAGATTGCATGTTTTCGCTTAGGAGTGAAAATTTAAAAAGTTTGAATCCCCATAACAATTTCAATGTCACAGATGAATAAGGCCAGATGAAAGTTAAACGATTCACACAAGTATTTTAAGAAAGTAATAGCTCTAAGTTTTTCGAATCATAAACTGAAATTAACACAACGACTTAAGCAATCACCCTCATCATCATTATCATCATGTTCATTGTTTTGAAAAATGCGAATTACAGCATTAACGAAGAAGAAAATAAAAAGAGGATCATTTTCCTTATTATAATTTCGTAAAAATCAAGTTTTAAATTTCACGGAAAAATGAATTTCTTTGTTCAAGTTACATAAAAACCATAATTTTTCATCAAATATAGAAGATCTTCTAGTTCTAATCTTTCCTTAAAGTTTACCTTCGATATCAACTCGAAGCCATCTCATGAATTTTCTTCTTTTATTCAAGAGGAATGTAAAATAAAATTTAGTTCACTTCGTGACTCTTAGCTTATTTGAACTCATGAAAACTTCTAAATTTCACCGCATTTCAGCTTTCCTTCTAGCTAAGGCTTACCTCAACCTAGAAACCTCGAAGCTTAAAGCAAAAAAGCTTTGAATTTTCAAGAAGAATTTATTTAAATCTCGTTAAGTGCATCATGGTTAAAATTCTTCACTTCCCCTACAATTTTTATATGAAAAGTGCAAGAAAAGGAAACATTTCGTTTTTACTAAAATTATAATAAAATTCATAATATGAAATACTTTAATACAATTCTAGAGTAGAAGAAGGTTTAGTGTTGAACAAATTGCATTGAAATCTTTATTTTATTGGGAGTCTTGTGGTAGATTTAAAAGCAGACGAGCACTGGGAAATTTTTTCCAATTTGTTTTCGGGAAGATGAAGAAAATTGTAGATATACGGAAACTGTCCATGGAGAGAAGATTTTTCAAAAACCCGAACCGCAGAGACAGCAACGAATGGAAAAGGATCGTTCAATAAATCTCATGAAGGATATAAAACAATGAGAAGTATTCACATTTTTCTCCAGCATTATGAGATGCAAATATGTTTTAAATTTTGGTTTTGGCTTCAAAGAGTTTTCCTCTATATCTCTTTCTGTTTCTCTACACCCACATGGTTCCTAAATTAGGGTAGCCTTGTGTCACATAAATTTCTCGTTTTGTGCACGTCCTAATAATTCACTTTTCAAAATGGTAAAATGTATGTAGATATATATAAGAAAAGCCTTGAGAAAGGCTTTTCTATGCTCTCAACCTTTATCTCCTTTCACTTTTACAGTTTCCGAGAAATCCATGGGATTAAAAAGGGATCAAATGAAGGATAAACAGCAGACAGTTCAAGTATGATGTAATAATAATTATTCATACCCTAGGCTGACTTTATTATTCTATATAAAGCGTAGTTGATCATAAAAAGATTATAATAAAGTGAAATGCAGATTTTTATTACAATAAGGTTGCCTCTAGTAGCAATATATAATTTAAAAACCAGAACAAAAGAGAAAACGGAAATGAGTGTTATCAAAGCAAATTGCTTTCTATTTTATTATGTTTGTTGTATACATTTTTAAATCTGAGAGGAGAACGATGCATCGGTTTATTTTCAAAGATATTTAATTTTAATAATTGAAATATTTTTAACAGTTGTAATTTACTAAATGGATTGCATTTCTCAGAATGTTTGTGGTTTAATAAAGTTCATGGTAGAAATGTAAAATGAAATGATATAAAATTTTTGAATTTGAAATATTATAAATATTTCATTACTTTAGGCAATAAATTAAAAATTGTAAATATTTGTGTGGTTTTTTGATAAAAGAATCAATTAATATCATTCATCACATAAATATTGTTTTACGGTTGTTGTTTTATGATCACTGAAAACCATGAGTAAACTTTACGGTCACATATATAATTTTAAAATTGTGAATTTTGTTTGCCATTAGAAGTTTGTAGATAATTTAAATTAATTAGAACACAAATGCAATCAATTTTAATATCTAATTAACTACCTAATGGATCCACTCGAACAATTTTTTCCTCACTGTAACAACATGTTGGTAACAGAATTAAAATAAATGCAAATAAGAAGTGGAAGCTTTTTCTTCGACTTTTATTTCCATATCTGTAGAGTAATCCACTTGAGTTATGTATCACTTGATGGGCTGTCACAAAGGTCAATTCCATATTGTTTCGCTTGCAAAGACTTTTACACTCTTTGGTCTACAATATTCTTCACTTCAACATTATTTTAATTTTATTCGTGTTTATGCAAATTTCACTCGTAATAATTTAAGTCAAAGCCGGCCTCCTATTAAGAATGGGGGGATTTGCGTATCACTTATTTATGCTGTACGCCTACGGCCTCACACTCAATGCTTTCTCTCACAACGAATAACGAGAGTAAAATAATGTTATTTGAATAATTTCCATGCTAAATTTCTCATACTTTCTCACTCAACACCAAAGAATTATGTGTTTTCTTCATTTACATTTTGTATTCTAACTTTTGTTTCTAAGAGTTTCACAGAAAAATAACGACGGAGAACAAAAAGAAGGAAAGAAACATTGATTAAATAAGCCTCAAACGTTGCATAACAAGATGTTACGATGGGTCTTTGTTATAAATTTTCTGTTTATTTTGTAAACTTTGAGTTTCATCAAGTTTGCTGGAGAATTCTCTAAAAACCTGTATAAAGTTTAACAGACTGTGGAAGACACAAAGTCTAGATGGGAAAAGGGTGAATATAAAAATTCTTTTCATTGTTTAAGCCGGCATGTAAGTTTTTGTTTTTTTTCTTTCATGTATCGGGAAAAGAAAATTTTCAATTCTCATTTGAGACTTGTCAGATGAAAAAATTCAAACTTTCATTTGAAATTATATCTAAGTCGTAGTAATGATTGCTGCAGTTACTTATAATGGCATTTAACATAAAAATGAGAAGACTTTTATAAATATTTTTATTTTCTTCTTTTGACTTTCATGCTATAAATTTGGGAAAAATAACTACGACAGTAAGGGCTTCGTCAACAATACACTTATTGAAATTATTTTACTTAAAGAACATAATAATTCTTTGTTATTTTTACTCATTCATGATGTCGTTCATATCTTTTTTATCAATTTCTTAGATTCAGCTTCGGAGATACTCGCAATAATCCAATTGTGAGGCGACATTCCGTTTCCCGTTTTTCCCTAACTTCTTCTTTTTCATGCAAGCAAATATTTACGCTCAATAATTTATACTGAATCAATACCGCATGAGTTAGTTGATTCGAAAAAGGAACGACGTTATCACAAATATTATGAGAAATTTCTTTCTTTTGGGATGACCAGGATTTGTGGCTGTGGTAAAAGGAAACGATATTACATTGTTTGAAGCAGCCTTAAATCAACTAGCTTTTCAGAATATCATACAACACCATAATATTAAGTCGAGCATTTCAGAAAGAACGTTAGAGAAGTTTTATGTCATCTACATCGTGGATTAAAGAAGACTTTCTTCCATATCTTATAAGCGATATGTCTTTTGCGAAGAAAAATATTCTTTCATTCTAACTTAAATTGTTTATCATTCGTAAAATGTTAGAGAAATATTAAGCGAGCAGTCACAAGGAGATAAAAATTTATTCGCTTGAAAAATAACAAAGTTACGCCTCGAAGAGCGAATAAAACAGAAAAGAAAGAAGAAATCATTGTTTCTATGTTGACTTTCTGTCGGGCAGATGAAGGAGACTACGAAGCTTTAAGCATTCATTAGCAGACAGTTTTCGCAGCAATTTTATCTTGTCCTGCTTCACCTATGAAACTCTCCTGTCTGTTATCGACATCTACAACAACATTTGCTGTTGGAATTTGTTCGTTGGACGAAATAAAAAATGAAACATGAAAATTCGTACGTTAATTGAAATTTTCGAGGCGTAAAAGCGAGGAAAGGAAAAGAATTCAATGAATAAAATAAGAGGAATCGCGCATTCAAAGAATTTATGTAAAGCAAGCAAATGACATTGAAAGCAACAAGGTTCAAATTTTCTCTAATTTTCATTATCCTGCCCGCTGGTGTTCACCTTCAGTCTTCATCTCTCTCTTTTTATGTTATTCTCAAAATTATGTTATTAAGGGTCAGCAAAAAGTTTAATTAAATTTTATTTGGTGAAACTTTAATTAACTTTTTTTCAATTCACATTTTTCTGTTGCCGTTTCGATGATAATACTCTCATGTTGTAATATTTTTGCTTGCTTTATTTGTGTCAAACGGGAGAGTTTATGACTTCAAAAAGTATGTCACAATAGAATTGTTTGTTTTTGTCTTCTTTTTCGTAAAACTTTTTCAAAAGTTACAATTGCTTTTCGCATCGTATGTGAAACAGCAATTACGAGATTGCGACAATATTTAGTCTACTAATTGGATGGAAAGTTCTTATTCATTCTTCATTGTCATCATTGTCAAATCTTAAACAAGTCATTGCCTTTTACTTCGCTCAACTCAACTCAACTCATATTTAATTGCGTTTTTTTTTATCACCATAAACACAAATAATCTCGAATGATAGTGAAGAATGTTTCTGTTTCATTTTATTTTTTCTTTTACTAACTGATAGAAGGTAGGAAAACTAAAGAAAAAAATGAAGAGATATTCTTGACCTTCGCTTTCTTTCATTGTTTGTAAGTGAGGATAAAAACAATTAAGACGAAAAAAGCAGAAGAATTTTTTTTTCCTCTCAACTGAGCCGTAAAATAATAACAGTTTAGTTGGAAAGGACATTAAGCATCAACAACAGGCCTACATGTCTGATGAAAGAAAAAATCTATTGCCTTGATGTACACGAGAAGCAGAAAGAAGCAGCAAAAGAATGAGAAAATGAATGCCTATAAAAATCTCTTCGCCTCGTCTTCTTTTTTTTTCATCAACAATGGATGATGAATGAAAAGCAGCAGGAAGAGAAAAAAAGAATGAAAGAAAGCTGTATTTGCACATTGTACGCGATATAAATAAGAATTACATTCTGCTCCCTTTCAACAGTTTCCCTACCACTTTTCCGTATCGCGAAAACAATTTCTTATTCATTTCTTTTATATGTTATGCTCCAAAGAGATATTTTACATCGGCAAGAAAATTTTAAAATGATAAACAGCAATGTAAGTAGGATTTGGATAACTTTGTAATTTTTACATAATTTCTACATCACTGAACTTAAAGTGCGCATTTCTCAAGCATTTTCATTGCTTGACTATTTTTCATATTTATTTAAAAAGAGACGCAAACACGGAGAGAAATCTCACATCAAGAAGGAATTATGTGATGTAGCAAATTTTGCGACTTGTGGCAATATTGACAGAAGCTTCCATTTTTCATGTTTTTTGCTTCTTTTTTTATGTTGTCTAAGCTTCTTCTTTTTTTCTTTATTTGTAATTTTTATATTTTATGTCATGGCAATCACTCATTTAGAAAATATATTGACAAAAATTTCAGACCAAAGAACGTCGAGAGTTAAAAAGAAAAGTCATCCTAAAAGAAACAAAAGACAATGTAGCGCTTCTTTAAAAAAAATCATAAAGATAAATATGCTTTCTTTTCATCTTATTATGATTAAATATATGATGATAAACTACCTTGAGTGAATATTAAAAAAAATTTCAAGATTTATTATTACAGGAGGGAAAAAAGCAAATACAAAACTGAGAAGGATGAAAGCTCAAAATTCTCATAATTTTAAATTTTTTTTGTGAAGGCAGAAAAAAATGTCACAGAAAATCTTCATTGAGGTAGAGAAAAGCTAGCAAGTCTACTCATAAGATTAACTTCAAACCATCCCCTACCACATCTCTCACAAAAGTATTTCTGGCTTTTCTCAAGAAAAATCATATCTTAAAATATTAAACATAATTGATGCTCTCATATGTAGTGTGTTGTATGAAGATGGAGAAAATAAGAAGAAAAACAAGAAAGTCATATTTGTCCGCCCATTTTCGAGCATCGTAGAAAGAAACATAATGATTATCATAATAACACGAAAATGAGATTTCATCCGCATTGATATGCTTTAGATTACCATGTAGCTAGTCGTGGGGTTTGAATTAAAAGAAAAAAAAAGATCATTAAATTGTGACATGTGTATAATTTACAAACACATTTTGTTTGCTTCTCAGGGGATCCTGGGCTGTTGAAATTTTATCCTTTTAACAGCCATTTCCTTATTTCCGCCACTCTGTTTGCGAGGCCAACTTTGGGTAACGTAAATTAATTTTAAATTATGACGCTGTCGGGTGAAAAATACACAAAAGCTTTGAAAACCGCCCAAAGCTTTTAATTTGGCACCGCAGTGAGCGCGAAAGTGAGTTAATTAACAAATCTCTGAGAACTCTCCAACAGTCTTGACACTAATTATTTCACATTTTACAGTTCATTCAAAGAGCACGGAAAACAAAAAAAGAAGTGTAAGGTCTGGGAGGGACTGTCATGACGAAAACACTTTGAATTCAGTTAAACAATGCTATGAAGGGAAAAACTCCCCCGCAGGCATGCCATAAACACCAACAATTGATTGATAAATTACTTAGCATCATTCAAAAGCATAACATTATCTTAACGTTTTTGTTTCTCTTGTGATTATACTTTCTTTAGCAATATTTTCTTTTTTTCTTTCATTTATTTTGCATTTCATTTCACGTTGTTATTTTACAATACACGATCCTGAATTTTTTTTCCTTTTTTTATTTCAGATGGCTCAACTTTTATTATTTTATCCATAAAAAGAGGCTTTTGATATTGTTTCACTTTACATCCAAGCACTTTACTGTTTTATATTCCAATCCTCGATAAAGCCACAAAAATTTATTTAGTGGAATTAAAAGCCTGTATCTCTTTTTCTTCTTCTGATCGTGCCTAGAGTGAAGTATTATTGTATTATTTTTTTATTTATCGGCTACACTTTGACACAACATATCGAATTTTGTTGTTATTTTTTAGTATCCTACAAAGGAAAAAATATCCACAATTGATATCGTCCAAAGTTTATTTGATCGGGATTTTATTTTTAATTATTATTTATGCAAAGAGTACCAATTCGCCATCGGAAAACAAGTCTTCTTGAATTGAACTTTTAAAAATTTATGAGATTAGAGGAAGAGTTGAATTTATACCAAGAAGATTCCATTTTTTTTCAACAGATTCACCGAACATCTCAAAGGAAACTGAATTTGAAATGTTTGGGAAAGTGAGATGTTGTGTTGTTTCAGTTTTCATGGAAAATGTTGGAAATTGGGATAAATAAAGAAGTTATTGATACTGGTCATGACTTTCCAGTGATGTTATTTTCCTTCCTTAACCATTAAAGTGCCGATGGAAAATGGAAGAATCGCAGCAAACTTCATGTTGTATCTTACACACCCCACCATAATTTTTCCCGTTTTTTCAATTCGTACAGTAACTTTGCTAAGAAATTTGAAATACCTAATTGAATTTTCTGCGCACATCTATGAGAAAATTCCCCTTAAATACATGTGACATGGCACAAGCTTCATGGCACAAACTTCATGTCACTGCAACATAATTTGAAAATTTAACCGTTTCATAGTGATAACATTCCAATGTTGCATGCTGCACTATTTTTTTCTCCATTTTCCACATAGTAAACGACAAACTTTTACTCTTACCTGTCAAGACATCCAGATGAAACTTTTCACTTACCTTTATTAATTTTTTATTTTTCTTTTAGTTTCTTACTTCTGGGATACGCAAAAAGTAATAGTGAGTTTTTCTCGATAATTGAATTTAAGAAGGATGGTTACATTTCATGATTATTGTTATTTGATTTTTCTGCAATATCTTCGAGAGAATTAAAAAGAATTTCTAAGATGTTTTTAATGTTTGCTGGAGAAAGGTTTTATAATGAAAGCTACAAAAACTTTCCTAAATAAAGTTCAATAAGAAGAAAGACGTGAAAGGAAATATTGATTGCTTTCTTTTTTTGTGCTGAAAACTCGAAACTTTTATTAAGTAGATACTTCTACATTTAATCTCGTGGTTATTTATTTTTAGATTATCTAAAATTCATTATTTCATCTAATTCAATACATCTAAGATGGGAAAATCTGTTTGGATGAATAAATAGAAATCATCTACATTTATACCAATTCGAAGTCTGCCTACTCATGCATAAATTTGCGGCATGAAAAGCTAATAATCTCAAATTTTCTTCTTACTACCTTCAGATTTCTCTTGTTGATAGTTAGAAGAAGCAAAATGTAAAGAAGCTATAACACAATAGCAAACTCTCAATAACCATGCTAGAAGCACGCTGTTCAGTGGAATTGACGATAACCGAAGGTAATAAGAACATAGAACTATATGATTATTGTAATTTTTCTTTATTAGATTTTGCTACAATGAAATTTTCTCAAATAAGTGCATGGAAACGCCTTCTTGAATAATGTTATCTCTTGACATCCTGCTTCAAAATCCCCCCTATTTTAACAACATGAAAAGAAAAACTGTAGCCAAACAAGAAAACGATATGATCAAGAGAGAAAAAAATTTAAATACATAGTCAACGAATATTCCATGCTTGGTAGGTAACAATATAAGAAGAAGTAGAGGAGTTTCCAGAAGTGTTTCCTATAAAAATCTTCCTTCCGTGTTGGTTCAAGTTTAAAAAGAAATTGTTATGCCAACTATACATTATTCAAAAGCAAATAATAAAATTCAATCAAGAGATAGAATAGCGGGTGTCGAAGATAGCAAGGGAAAGATGTTGAGGCAACAATATAATTCAATTTGCGCTTATTCTTTCCTTCATCTGAAAACATGGTTCCTTCCGTTTTTTAGTTCAAAATAGGATAGAGAGCTCGAAAGTAAGCGACGACTCACAAATATGAAATTATTTTAAGTCATAGGAAATATTAACTTTCTTGGGATTTACTTATCTAACTGAAAAATTTCTACATATTCTCCTTAACCAACAAAAATAACATGAAAAAGAAATTTCACAACATTTATGTGAAGCCGTTCACAGCTTTTCAGCAAATACGAGTTATCTTCCTTGTACGTTTCATGTGGCAAAAGCTTTCAGGCATTTCTTGTTTAACATATCAGTCGACTGTCTGTTCAAATGCATTCTTATTTCAACGGCATTCTTTATCATTTGAAGTTTTTGTTTCATCATTTTTGTTTTCTTTTGACCTACATGAGTTCACGAGGTTGAATATAGGTATATTTCGCAAAAATAAATATTTCTGTTAAACGAAATGAAGACTGTGAGCAAAATGTGAATTTATGAAAAGTATTAGCATATTGAGAACTAATGTTTTTTGTTTGCTTTTTGTGTTGTTGTAAGTAAGAAAGTTTTTTTGGTAACTTCCATGATTTGCTTAGAATTCTTTTATAAAATTAAAATTTCTATGGAAAATGAAACTCTAGACCTGATATTGAAAACCCTTTTTGAACAAAGTGATGGTATCAATGAGAATAAATTGAAAAATGTCTTCTCATATTCGATGAAACACTTAGAGAGCAAGTTTCGTTTTTATCAATATTACCTTCTAGATGTTTATGAATTGGGTCAGATTACAAAGAAAAAGTTTAATGACGCAGTTGCTCCAATGAACTTGTTTCTTCTAGGAAAACTTTCAGTCATCGAAATATTGAAATTTACTGTTAAATACATAAGTAGAAAGAAATCACTAAAAACTTGTCACAATTTGAAATTAATTAAAACTTTCATAAATGCCAACAAATTCCACTAAAACACAAACAAACTTCACACAGAAAAAAACTATGAAAGCAAATAAAAGCTTAAAAACTCTTTCCAACAGCAGATTGTCGTCAGAAGAGAGAACAAAAACTTATTTGCATAAACATCTCGAAAAATAGATGAAAAAAAATTAACACTGGAAGTTGAATGAATAGACATGATATGCTTATGATTTGACAACTTTACCATTCATGTTTGTAACATTAGGAATCTCTTTTGAAAAGTTTTCATGTTTTTTATGCTTACAATGCCAACCAAAAATCAACATCAGAAAACAATGATAATCATGGAAAAACAGACCAAAGTTTATTGTTTACGAGATGCCTTACATAACAGTTGGAATGTTGATCAAATTTCGCTTAACTAAATATGTGAGAAGTGATGTTGTCTCCTTTCTATTTCTTTCTTGTCTGATTTACTTTTCACCATGGATATGGTTCAAACAAAAGGAATAATGAAAAAGCTGTTGAGTTAGATTGAATACTGTCTGAATAGAAAGAAAAAAACTTCTTTTTCACATGAATTTTGAACAGTTTTCTGGAGCCATTAGAGGACAGTAATGCTTTTATCAACATGTCATACAATGACGACTTTCATAAACATTCTGTCTCTTCATCTCAAATAAAGCTTTTCTAACATATCTTTATTTACAGAATCCTTTTGTGATTGTTTAATTTTTATTTTCTTTTTACCAGATGTTTTATTTACTTTACTTAAATAGAACAAATCAACATAAGAAAAAAGTAGAATCCAAATCTAGGTTTTTATGACACCAACGAACAAAAACTCGAAACATATCACGCATCTATAGTTGTCAAGCATTTAACTTTAACCCTGTCAGTCAATAAAAATACTTTTCATAGCTCAATTAGTATAGAGATATGTTCTTTTTATTTCCATGATTTGTAGCTTATTGCTAGACCTTTTGCATTAAAATTCATCAGAAGCAAACAAGGTATGTTCGTTTGTAATGACTGCTATGCCCTTTTTTTCTTATCGTATTTAACATCTAAACATTATTTATGGATACCTCATCTCGTCCGAAATTTATCGTTGATGTCGAGTGAAACCAACGATGTGAAACGCACCATAAATTTCAAGTGTTTCCATGATAAGAAATTGACGTTTTCACTCTGGCTTGTACGAGTTCAGATTTTCAATATGTTGAAACAGAAAAGAAGTTAAACATTTCATGAAGTCTTTAACAAAGATAAAAAAAAATTAAAAAACTTTTTTAATTACATTTGTGTGTTTCATGATTATTTGTTCTAAGAAAACAAAACATCATAATATTTAAGCTTCGAAAAGTAAATCAAAAAGCTATTCAAACATTTTTTTGAACTTGGGACTCGCATATAGATCCGTATGTTCATAGCTTGTATGTTTGCTATTTAAAAAGCATCATGACTTGCTATAATTTATGATACTTCTGAAGAATTTCTTTTACCATAATTTCTATTGGTGTCGACAAAAGATAATTTCAAAAGCTTCAAAAATCAATTGTGTGGTTTTGTCGCCGAAAATATTTTGCAACATAATAAAAATTATTGTTTTGGTTTTTAACCAAAGTCATGCTTTCAGAAGCGTCATAAAATATTTTAACGAACGAATTAATAGCACTTTTATTAAAAATATTACCTCCCGTGTGCTGACTGTTACCGAGGTTACAAGAAAAAAAGGCAAAAAAAATCTCTACCCATAGAAACGAGCCCAATGAATATTTGTAGAAAAACAAACACATTTTGAATTGATGGTCTTTAAGTAAGTAGTAGAAAGATATCTTATTTGGACACATGCTAAAATCTCTAAAAATTTTCGTCGAAACATTCGAATAAAAATTTTCTTTTTTGGAAAATTTCTTGTGCTTTAATTTGATTGGAAAAACTTTTGGGACGGTCATAAATTCTAACATTGTTGCCGTCTTATTTATGTATGTTCTCTCTAAGCAATTTTTCCAATTTATACATATGCATATGTATGTATTTAGAAGATTATGACAGCCCTTGAAAGAGCGACCAATAGAGAATTTTTGTCATGCTATCTGCATAAATAATTGCCAAGCTTCTATATTTAGTAGAAAAATAACAAAACTTTTCACTCAATCGACTTTTTGTATCTAAACAATATTTAAATCAGTTCGATTATCTACGATCTTCAAATTTAAATTTGTCAAAATTTCTATTTCATGATTGTTTAGCAATTAATTATCTGAATTCAGATTCAAAAATTTCGTAATGAAGTGGAATAATATTAAATTTGATTTTTGAAAGCTCTTTTTATTAAACATAATTAACCTTTGAAGAACGGTTTCATTTACAGTAGAAGCTCTATAAGCGGAAACTGAAGGGGGTGGTCGTGTGAGGAGATTTTCCGCTTTTAGAATGGCTTTTCAATATGAATGAAGTTGAAGGGGGTGGTCATGTTTGAAGCTTTTGCTCTCATAAGGCTTCCGCTAATAGCGCGTTGACTGTACGTGAAAATTTATATTTAGATTCGGGGGCTTTTTCCAGAGCTGAGAAACAGTTTTGATTGATGAACAAATCGAATATCAAAATATTTAGAAAGAATCAACGACACAATTCTGATTTTGCCGGGCTATGATTTGTAAAATCATGTAAAACGATCTCCTTTGCTTATTTCTAAAAATAAAATTCAGAAGAAAAAGTCGCTGAAATCCAAAAAAATAATTCAGAAATAAATGTTGATAACGAGAATAAATTAATTGCTGAGCAACACTTTTTTAAAATAAATGGAATACATTAACAACTAACAAAGCATCAAGACTTGATTAAACTAGAATGAAGGAATGCGGGAAGTCAGCTTTCACATATAACAACCTCAGTGTGAGATGTTTGTCACTCATAAAGTGTTGCCTCAACCCAAAATCAACGTTCTTGAAATGAAACAAAGCCTTCACCACAGTAACACATCCTTCAACTGATTAATTTTCCTAACTACCACAAGCCGACAGGTAAATCTCAACAGATTTCGAGTTTATGAATTATTCCTCTCACACTCTTCATATCAACACACAAATCAGTGTTAGCCTTAACAAAAAAAGAATGGTGAGATACGAAGATACAAAAACATGAATTCAGTCCAAACAGCAGTTCAAAGAAGAAAGGTTTGGATTTCAATTTAATAAGAAGCCGTTTCTTTGTAAAAAGGATCTCATTAGTAATTGAGAATTAAACTTTTTATTGGCTGGTAAGGCAAAAATATTCGCAGATAGAGGGCAAAGCATGGCACGCACAAAAAAACGCTTCCATGATTTCCAAATAAATTTTCATTTCTTTTTTCTTTTCCTGACGAAAAGGAATCTTCATTGTTGTGTAACGTCTAGGATATCAATCAAGTTTTATCTAAATCAAGACCCTTTTATCCTTTAAACGAGTGAGGAAAAAGGGCAAACCAACTCACGTCTTTTTTCATCTTTTAAATGTTTTACCCAGAGCTGAAAGCTCAGCTTAATCTACCTCAAAATTATTTTCATTCAAATTTTGTGAGAATAATAAAATTAGAATGAGAAAAGAAGGAAAAAATACGACACTAAAGATGGTCAAGTGAGAGTTTATAAATTCATTCCATTTGCCATTTTCAAAAACTCTGTAAAAGTTAAAGTTTAAAACATTTATTTATGTTGTTGTAAAAAGGAAGGGAAAGGAAGAAAATTCCCAGAAGTTCAGGTTATTTTTCAGATTCAATACTTATAACTGAATAATGTTAGCTTTGTAACCCTGCACCTTTTTCAATGTCTCGGAGCATGAAATAATGTGATACGATACTCAAGTATGTTCATTCACATTTCAAGAAGAATTCTTCTTCACATTGTTTAACAAATATTGTCAAAACCCTGCGAAAGCTGATCCTTTCAATGATATACCTCATGTCAAAGGAAAGCGAAGGAAGCCACAGAAGGTCATGCCTTTAACTTATAATTCTGTCACATGATCTGGAAAGAACATGAAAAGTTACATACACGTTTGTTAAGGCTGTACAGGAGTTAAAGACAATTGACTAGAACACATTAACCGTCGGCATTTTATGGTTGAAGAGTTCTCTGAAGTTAAAGACTATGAGGAGACGGAAAGACTGCGAGTTAGATATAAAAACGTTCTCTTTACAACGCTCGTTTGCTTCTTCCCAAATTTTCCATCATTGACTTTATTTTTTTTGTTATCTTCTTTCACTTTCGCCACGCTTGAAATGATTTATGTACGTTACCAGCCGCAAACAACTTTATTTTTGAGGACGAAGCCTAAGGTGAATATTTGTTGAATTCTCAGCAAATAAAACTCTTTGGGAAATCGCCAAGAAGAGGAATTTTCTAATGGTTCAATGTTGATGTATATGAATGGTAGTTAAAGTAACGAAGAACTTCAATCAGTTCTTATTTCATGAAAAATTTCTCATATTTAATCGAAATTTGAAACCACAAAAAATTGGAATCTTCTTTTTCTTACGACTCGCGTACAAAAATAATATTAAGCTCAAAGCCCAAAATCAACGTACCATAAAAAAAGACATAAAGATTGTTTTTTATGTCGCGTGTGGGGAATCTTTAATTATGTGCTATGGGAAAGGAAAAAGGACCTGAGAAATTATCATTGTTGTATGTACATATCTTAAAAAAAAAGAAATATTTTTCTTTCCTGACTTTTGTGTGTTGCTTGTAGTCGAACACGAAATGTTTTTCTTCTTTTTTGTCGGCAGAAGATATTTTAGCATTTTAATATCTTCACGACCACATAAACACATATGTTTACTTTACTAAATCCACGACATTATGAGAGAGCTTTGTGATTTATGATATTCCATTTGTAGGTGAATCATGGTCAAAAAATAAAGAAGTGTAACAAAATTCCATCAATTATGAGCATCTCTAGGGCTCGAGAATCATTTCAACTAGAAATGTTTTCTTTAACTTGCTCCTCCAATGGCGTCTACATTTCCTTCAAATAATGTTCATCGTTGCATGAAAAAATTATTTCCTCGACCCACGTCAAGAGAGTTTTACTCTTTATTATTATTTACATCTTTCCGGACACTTCTTACGGAACCTTTATCTCCAAGTTTATTTCATTTCTTCTTTTGAACTTCTTAATGGATAAGCCGCCGGCTTTTTTAATATAATAAGCCAAATTTTTTTAATCAAAAGTGTTTCCTTTCTTCCTTCTGTTAACTTCAAAAAAGAGTTGAAATGTGAAATATTTTTTCATTGATTGTAAAATATTTTTTGAATGATATCAAAATACCTTATTATAGGAAATAATCGGAAATTAATTATTAGTAATAACAATTGATACAATATGCATAGTGCACTTTTTCATTGTGCAACTATGTATTCATAACAGTATTCACAACAGCAATATATTACTTTGCACATCATCAAACTAAATATTTATTCAAATGTTAGAATATTATTTGATGTTCGTCGACTGACAATTAAGCACTCATATAAAATTATGTTAAATTTGCTTAAATAAATATTTTATCGCGTAAAAGAAAGCATGAATAAATTTAAGCTTACAAATTAACTTTACAATTTGTCATGGGTAATAAGCAATTAATGTTGTTGTTATTTCATCTGTAATTACAATTTTCAGCCCATTAATATTCATTTGTGTGAAGTTTTCAATGCGAAACGGGATGCAATTCATTCTTGATGCTGTCATTAAATTTTCTCTGCTACCCTTCGGGGATATTTTGAATGTTGTTGAGTTGGTTCTGAAATATTTTCTGAAAATGGCACGACTTTGAAAAGCATCATTATATCAAAAACATATTTTGAATGTTAATGCGTTTTCGCGGTAATTAATTTTCCGTGTTTATATCTTTTTATCAAACAGCTTTTCAGTTTCGTTCACCACTTAATCACTAGAACTTTTCAGTATAGAAACAAACATTTTGAAGAGTAATTAATTACAAAGTTCTAAGTAGCAGATGGATGATGGGAAAGTAAAGAAAGAAAAACCCGCTAATGCTTTTCTTCACATTTACACGTCAAAAGGAATTATTTATCTGCGTTATGATTTGGTGAGACGAAAAGAGCTTTTGTGATTCCTTTTTTATTTTGTTTCGTTTTGTTTTGATAGCTGTCAACGTATGCTCTGTAAATTGAATAAAAACATCACAAGACTTAATGCGAGATATGACATTGTTAATGGTCGTTGATTATTTTGTAGAATATTTTCATATTAAATTGTGAAAATTAATCCTATGCTTTTGCCATCATTTGATGTTGGCCTTTGTATATATTTTAAAATAAGCATTGAAAACTTGCTTACGATCTAATTGATTTTTAATGTTGAAATTACGGTAAAAGCTTTACATTTTGTGGCAGAATTAATCTTCAAATATTGAACATTAGAGACCAGAAAAATAATAAATAATTAAAATGTGTTCAAATTATCCACATTGAATTATCTACAAAAGAAAAATATTATTTATGTAGCATAAATTATGCTCTTCATTTTATTTTTCATATCATACTCTGAAAGTCAGGCTTGAAATTCATGAATATATGATAATAAGTAATAAAAATTCCAAAAACTGGACTTTTCACTTGCTGATAGTTCGAGAAATATTTGTTAGCAGAGTTCTTAATAAATATGAAATGTGATCAGTGAACTGCAGTTGAGCAAATTAGTTTGCATTTCTAAAAATATTATGCTGATTATTCACATGATTAATAAAAAATTATTGAACATGAAACATCCAGTTATATTAATTAATTTTTCTTTATTTGAGAAGAAAATTTCTGCTCTTTATTTAATCTCTCATGAAATAACAAAAAGTCATAACCGATCATTTTTAAAAACGGATAACAATTCTTTTAAAACTCAATAGAAAACATCACTAAGCCCAAGGAATTAAGCATTTCCATAATTATCTTTAATCTTTTTCGAACACGGATGTCCATTTTCTCATGATGATGAATCGTCGCTACACTTTTCTATAGCGCAACCCATCAAGGAAAAAGACCTCTGAGACTTGTTTAATTTGTCCTCAACAACAAATATTAATTCAATGGTCTAATCCTCAACAAACAATGAGAGCAAAGGGACGGTAATAAAATTTTATCTTTTTTCTACTTTCAAATAATTAATTATTGGAAGTAAACAGCAAAAAGCTCTTTTGTCATGGGCCTTGGTTGGGATATCAAAGACAACAACTTCAGCTACAACCGGGGTTTTATAATTTTGCTTCTTTTTCAGGTTGGTAATGTGTTTTGTCACCATAAAAAAGTGATTAAGTATAAATGTAATAAAGATCTCAAGAGTGAATTTTCCAAGAATATTTAGCCTTCAGAAACAATTAAAAATGAATTTACATTAGTAATTATAAGATGCGAGATGAGCTTTTAACAGCAAGAAAACATTAAATCTGCGGTATAATAAAGCGTAGAATAATGAAGAATCATCTAATTAATTTTTAATCTAAGATATTAAGCAAATGACACAGTTTGTTGATATAAGTGTTATAAAAATATAGTTTTCTTACTTTTCTTTCGCCATAAATGAGTCAGTGAAAACCTTTAGCATTACCATCATGGAATTAATCACCAGTAGCTTTATCTTTGACTAATTGCTATTGAAATTATTTATGAAGTTTTCCTGAGTAAGCTTGCCTGTTTAGTCGAGCAAAAAACTGGTGAAAGGTTACATTTTCTTGACAATAACTTAGTTCTTATTCTTATCTTAAGTTAGCTAGCTACTTGAGAAACATTTTCACGTAAGGTTTTAACTTTCTGACAGATATTTCATGCTTGAAATTCATTTGAATGTCAGCAGAATGTATATACAACTTCAACATGAAAATATTCAATTCAAAGAAATTTGAGAAGTGAACTTCAGATCAGAGAAATCTTTCCAGGCTCTCAGATGAATGTAGCAAGGAATTTCCAAGGGTCTGTTCATCAAATTAAATTGGCCGGCAGAAGCATCATTGGCGCATTGAAGCACTAGATAAATTTCAAGAAAAAGTAAGCAAATTCTCGGAAAAAGGCCACTTTTCTTGAAAAGCACTAGTGATTTTCGAAGCATCATTTGGAGGCAACCGGCAGAAGCACTACGAAGAACAGCCCCTAGGGAATTTCTGCTCTCATTTCTCAGAAAAAAATAAATGCTTCTCTGAGAGCTTTCAATTGACAAATTCTCTTTTATGTTCTTCTTTGTCCTCATCTTACTGTTCATACCTATCCTTGAAACTTTCCGATTTATATTTTTTCATATTTTCTAACAATTCCATGGGAATCTTTTTAATGAGCTTGACAAAAATTAGTGATTTAAAAAGCATTTGATCAATAAGAATGGGAAACAAAAACACTTCTTTTTGATAAATTTTAAATGCGGAAATTACCTTTTAATTAAATTATTCAACAATAAAATTGAGTCTGAAAATTAGATTATTATTGCTGAAATAAAAATCAATGTTTTCCACACTATTTTTTTTGTATTGTGCTGTTTCACCCTCAAAATAAGAGATTTGTTGGGATTTATGAGTTATGCCTGATGGAAATTTTATGCGCATAAATTTAAATTGATTTCAAATGACGAGGATTTAAGGAGAAGTTTTGAGAAAGTTACTTTACTAAATTATGAAGATAGAGGTAACATCTTAGCTAACATTTATTTTTCGAAATGAAGCATTTATTATAAATAACAAATGCTTGAAAAGGTATTCTGGGTTTAAAGCTCAAATCTTTTCAAAAGTGATCATAAGTAATAATGCTATTAAAAGAACAATCAACAAAGGAAGACAAAAGAGAAAATCAAAATCTTTGAGTCTTTTCAACCAAAGACTATGCATTCAATGTTTTTTTTTTGTGAAGATTTCCTGTACGATTTAAAACTCGTTTTATTCGTCTTTTGCTAATCTGATGGAGAAGTCTTTCGTACTGACGAAAACATTATCAACTATTTTCAACATTAAACCTCAAAGACTAAGGTGGAAATAAAGAAATGGAATTGCAAGCTGATTTTTCCTTGGAGACTCGTGACAAAAACGACAAATGAAGCTGTGTAAATAGGCCACATGCAAGAAAAACGTGACAAATTTTCTCACTGATTTGTCACTTTTTCTCGTGTTCAATTTAAGCTCGTGATTGAAGATGACAAAGCTCAAACAGTTGATAAACATTTCATGATAGTCTCAGAAAAAATGTGGCGGAAAGCAGTCGTCTTCAGGAAATAAGACTTGATAGGTTTTCATCCGAATAGAAGTAAATCCTCCTTTTACTGTTTTCAGTTCGCATCATATAATTTATTTCTGTTTATCACAGACGAAGAAATGAAAAAATGTTCTTTTCTCGTAAAACAATGACAACATGTCGGAATGTTTATCAACGAAAACGAATTCACAGGGAGCATGGAGATGGTGAAATGCTGAGAGAATCATGTGTGTGTTGAAGTGATTAAAAAAAATTTAAATCAATTTAATATTGTTAAAGATTACATTAAAGAAATGGAAAATTTAATGATGGATCATTTAGAATCATCTTCTAAAACCTACATCACTGTTATTTCAATTTCTACCAGCCATGTTTTCAATACTACTGAGTGTCAATCAATCTTTCAATAAGAAAAAAAACTCACTTCTTCTCATTTACTTCGTAATCGCTAGCCACGCGTGATAAACTTCAAAATCCTACAAAGAATATTGATCTTACGTTTCCCAATGGCATCAGAAAAGTAAGATGAAGAATTCATTTCTTTTTATTCGGCTTAGACATTGACTCTAACTTTTGAATAACTCAGCGTGATCATTGAGAGTATTTCCTTTTGTTGGTGACCCTAATCGCCGTCGTGCTTGTCATTTTTTTTGAGACTTTTCACTTGTAGATGAAATCAAATAGAAGGAAAAGAATCGTTCAATAAAAAGTAATATCAACATTACATAACAATCCGGTTGATTAAAAGAAAAATCACTGTAGGACTTCAATCATCGTTTTTTTATTTGCTTTATTTGAAAAAGAGGCTGTCTGAACATTATTGAGTTGGGATTGACTGTAATAAATAAATTGATTTTTATGAGAGTCTTGTATGTTGTAAGTACAAAGATTACATAATCTTCTTATGTTCATTGATAAAAAGAAGAGACTCAACATTGATTTCCCATGGTCATATCCTCCAAAATGCAACAACGATACTTCCAACAATATAAAAACATAATTGTTTGTATTTATAAGAATTCTGTTAGTCAAAGAGAGCCCGCCAGGCTTATAATTTTCTAGGAATTTTCATTAAGGCCATATTTGATCAAACTCATCCTTCTCTGTAATTAAAAGCCTTAATTGAATGTTTAGAGATAAACATGAAGAATTTATCAAGCAAAAAATGTCCTGAAGAGAAAATTGTTTAATTCACCAATGATAAAAAAATTTGTCATACTTTATTCGGCTTATTTGGACGATGTTGAGCTTGTTACGCATCGGAATCGTTATTATTTTAATGACATGTCCACATGGTGTGCTCTTCACCATGACAAACTCTTTTCAATTTCCGACATATTGTTCTTTCGTTTGAAAAAGAGTAAAAGAAAAGATTATCTCAATAAGGTTTAACGATTTTTTTCTTTCTTCTATCATGTAACGTTGCCAACGATCATTAGTTTGGCAGTAAAGCTTCAACATATAACATTATAAAATAAAGTCTAATTTGTTCATTAATAAAACTTTCTATCCAAAGTCTGGAAAATATTAAACAGAAAAATGTTTATATATTTTCTCTCAGTAGTACAATTGTGATAGCCATCAGCAAATCTAGTATCTGTAGCCAGTTTTCTATTTTAATGAATCTTCTTTTTAATACCGGAAGAGAACATTAAAAACACGAAAACCATTAAATTCATATTTTTTGTCTGCTTAAATATTTTAAGGGTCATTAATGGACGAGAGAAACACTAACAACGGTTGACACAACACAACAAGCTTAATTACTATACTGTTGAGATGGTTTCGGTCCATAGACTAGAGTAGATAACAGAAACTGCTATAACAAAACGATAATAATTATCAGTTTGGCACACGTGTGGTCAGAAGAGACCGTGAATTAAACACATTTTCACCATCTTCCATTTATGTTTATCATCATTCGTCAGTAAGGGAGTTAATAAAAAAGCCAGTCGTGAAATGTGGGTGGGGAGGTTTGAAACAGATGGAAACAGAAAGTATATAAAAAGTATAGTATATAAAAAGAAAAACATTGCAGCAGCAATCTGTTTTCAAACTAAACAAGATAATCAGTGACACTCTGTATGTTTCATCTTATAAAAAAGAAAACATTAAGTGGAAAGAGTTTGCTTTTCCTTCGTAGGATTTTCTCATGGAAGGTAATCTTGGTATGAAAAAAAATGAAAAGAATAAATCGGATAGAACATTAAGTAAGATAATATTAATTCTGACTCGATTCATTCCCTTAGCGACACTTCGATCTTCAAAGAAAGGTAAGAAAAAAGGTTTCAGAAGAGACTGAAAATTATGTCATAAAGGTAAAAACATCTGGCATAGCAGCGCAGCTTCGCTATTTAATTAAGGCAATTTTCATTTTCTGCCTCGCTTCATTTCCCGCTGTTTTGATTTTCATGATACTTTTTGACGCTTGTTTTGAGTGTTTTCCTTGTTTAAGAATAATGAAGATTCATTTTCAGTTTTTTTAAGACAGATTATACGAGACGCAAGATGGTGCAGAAACACGAGAGAATTTGATTCCGGATCCATTTCCGCGTAATTAAATTTCCTTTCCTGACAATTCGAGAAATGAAACCCGATGGAAGGGAAGATTTTATTGGGTGCGAATTTTTTATGTTAAACATTTATTCAAAGTCTCAAAAAAACGTCTTGGTTTGTAAAATTATTAATCGCTTCCTCAAAATTTCAACACTAATAATTTTTTTAGACGTTTTTCGTCACAGCTGCAACACTTATGAATTCTAATTATTATTTTTTCAATGAGAACCTACACTACATTTTGTGCTATATTCATTCTTTACTTTTAACATTTAGAAAAAGGAAAGTTTAATTTTGCCGTCATCAAAGTGAAAATTAATTAAATTTTCTTTCTCCTTGTCTGTGTTTTCAAATAATCTCGGATTCTTGCATTAAGTAAAACCTCTAATCTCACCATTATGTGCTTTACTTAGGTTTCGGTATCAACTTCACCTGATCTTGGTATTTATGAAAGTCAACTAAAGGCATAAATCTAAATCGAGAGTAGTAAAATATTTTGCTATAACCGCATGGAACAACAACCTCGAATATGTTTTAATCGCATTTATAATGATTTTGATATGATATTATAAATATGAAATAAAAAAATCTTTATCGACCGTCATTGAAACCCAATCAGCTTAAATTTACGAAATCATGAAGGAAATCATGCATAAAATTGATGGTAGTATAACAGACGAAGACAAAATCAAATCTGGGTGACCAGAACATCACCGCATTCAATTAATTGATTCAAAATTCTGCTTTGGTCAACTTGTGGACATTCTCAATGAATTCTAAGACAATTTGAATCACGAAAATTCACTCACCCATGTTATCATCACAAATTATGTGCGATACGAAGCCAAACAGAATCAAGACGATTATTGAGCAATCAAATGTTGCTGATTTCAACATTTTTTCCTTCATCATTGTATCATCAAGAATCTCTTTCACTCTCAGTTTTCTTTTACTTTGCGGATTTACACTTTAAGATTTCTCTTCTGTTTCATGAAACAAACAAAAACTCAGCAACCTTCATCAATAGCAGTTTGTGTTTTTTGCTTCTACTTTACACCAAAAAAATATTTGGGGAATAATTCATTCTGATTTAATCGATGAATCAATAATCCTGTGATTTAAACCCTACGCATGGTTGGGTCATCATGGAAAGCAAAAAGCTGGTTTTCGGTCACTTCAGAGCAGTCATCAGTTTTAGTTATTTTTTCAGAAATTTATTTATTGTTTGCTTATTGGATTTGTGTTGTAAATTTCAGTTGGAGAAATCTCGTATCAGCGTTCACAAGAAGTTTAATAACAATGATTCAATGTGAACTTTAACTCATGCACTTTGCTACTTTTTGAATATTTATTGTTTTCACAGAAGCTGTTAGGAGAAGTTCAAAGAAAAGCAGAGATCTATATCGTTCGTTGAACATTAATCTTATCTTGATTTGTCATTTCAATTGACTGCTTTCGTATTTCATTATGTCACTAACTGCTTGATATTTTGATATTTGTTTGCTTACTTCAGAGACGTTTTTATGCTTTTCTCATCGGCGTATACACCAAGTTCACATTAACAATAAAATCATTTATATGTTTCTAAACGATTTCTTGTTTATTGACACTTCACAATCATTTATTGAAAGAACCATATCTATTGTTGTTATCTTTTTATAATGCTTCAGTTGATTACAATTCAATTTCACTGACAACATATAAATTCCATCAATCTTTTTCACATATATTTCATATTTCTACCACCAAACATAAAAGTGATTATTACAACCGTGTGGTTAATAAACAAATATTTCAAATCTCCCCAAACACATTAATACACATATTAATTGACGTTGAGAGAATGGTATTTATTTATGGCTCTTGAAGAATCAACATTTGCTAAATCATTTCCTAATGGACGATAAAGAGATCTCGTTCTTACTTCTTATAATAATAAAAATCCTCCTTGAGAAAACTTCAGAGCTTTACGAGAGCATATTGTTTCGATTTTTACTAATCCAAATGCTTACAAGTCACTTCAATTACGATTATAATGTCTTAAGGAAATTTGTTTATTCCGAAAATCATTGATGAATTAGTAATAACTTGAATTTTTTATGAGATTCTCAATAAATCGATGTCTTGTCATCATTGAAATATTTTTGAACTTTTTTTTATTCATTTCGTCAATTCATATTTTTTTGTTTGTATTATGCTCATTCAAAGTCATTACGCAATTTCCATTAATGTTCAACTTGCTTCAATATCTCCGGAATTCCTTATTTACCGGAATGATTAAATTACAAAGTAGCACACGAAATATCCGTTTTATCGTCTCATTTTCTGCTTTCGCCTTGTCAAAAACAAAGAAATCCTTTCTTTTTCCGTTCTTTTCTTTGATCAAATGGAATGAATATTGACTTACAAAAGGTTTACAGAGATGACGATCACCTTTATTTTTTATGTCTGGAACATCTCGAAACAGATAATTTCTTTCTCTTATCCATTCATACTTCACATAATCCAAAATTTAATTAATGAATTAATCCAATATAAGATTAGAAGGGAAAGTAAGTAGTTAATTCTGGAACTTTTAACTAAAACTTTCCTTTACTTGTTACAGATTCTCCTTTAATCTTGTAAATGATTTTCTTTTGTTTCTATTTCTTCAACACTCGGGAATATTTTTTTCAGCAGAGTTTCTTCTTCTTCTTCTTTGCAAAAAATTTATGCTTTAATAAGAAAAGTTTTCAAAACTTTCGATTGAAAATACAAGAAAAATTATTCCCTTTTAATGCACTCAAAATAATTTTTATTTATCGCGAAATATTCGTCTTGTGAGTGGAGAAATGGCAGACGCACTTACTCAAACCAGTTGAATACAATGAACTGAAATTTTCAGCATGAAAACATTTTTCTGATGCTGTAAGGAGCGTTTTTCTCTGAGTGTTCCTTATTTTCTGGACTTCTCAATCATAAATGGAGAGAAATTGTGAAAATATTCTCTCTTGAATAGAAATACGCTGTGAAATTGTGAGGGTTGAAAAGCGACACTCGTGACTATGTACACAGCAAAATTCAGAAAGGGAGAACGCAACCAACTACACAGTAAAGTAAAACAATAACCACCCAGTTTATTTCACGCTAGAAATTTCTTGAAAAATTAATTTATCATTTTTAAATTCATAACCGAAATTTTCCATGCGCGGAACGATAGCTAAAAGGAACAAAAAATCATTACGGAAACTTAATTAAAAATTGATTAATGAATATTTGAATCTTTTCTTTAAAAGCCTCTCAAGACTTTAAATGCATAAAATTCTCACTCAAGCAAAAAAAAATTTCCTCGTACTTTGTTTCTTTCTTGCTTGTTTGCTTGTCGGTTGGTTGGTGACCGCTAAGATGAGCGACAGGCAAAAATTAATTTGACAAGTAAAAACGGTGAAGGAAAAGAAAAGTTCAAGAAATCAGTTGAATTGCTAACCCTCTGGGTTATCTTTTAAGGAATTTTCAAACTCGTTAGCTATATTCCGTCATTCAGACTTTGTTTTTTTTTTTATTAAAACATAAAGCTATAAGAGCCTTGAGCGTGTGTCTTCACAATTGAATTTACGGTGTGATTGAAGGGGACACCGCATTAGCTCGCTACCGGATATTGAAAGACTGAAATAGAACAGACAAAGTCAACGTTGAATAATTTTGTTAACTTGGTTAAAACTTCAAACAACAAAAACAAATTCCATATTTCAATTATTTTCTTGCCGTGTCTTACAAGTTTCTTTGAACTCGTCATTATATCTTTTCACTCCTTCTTTCATCTAACATATATTTACTGTATTCTCTATTATAATTTATGATGTTTATTGCCGTAAGTATTCAGGAAACACTGAGTAAAAATTATGCACATGAATAAATTATTCATTTAAAGGAACTCTAAATAACATGTCCCTTTGAGTCAGCACTCAACATGACTTTATTCTCATTATTATGATAAGAAATAAAGAATATTTCTTTCAGTGTATATTTACGGAATCATTCCGCCCAAATCATTCTGAAAGTATGTTTATTTATGTGTCTATGGAGACTCACTCCCATAATGTAAAAGAATTTCAGTCACTCAGTCTCCATTTGGTAATCTTCCTTTTTTCTGTAAGCATGAATTTATCGATCATTTATATTCAAAACTAAGTAAAATGGATAATTTGGTTTGTAAATATCAATGTTCAGCATGACTCAAAGAGAAATCAATCATCGAAATCTCGTATATTTGTATGCATAATAAAATAATCAACTTACCAACTAAAGTACCAATCTGATCTCATTCGTGTGTCTTAATACGACTGTGGTATGCCCTCTAAGCACATTAAATTTTTATCGTCTTCATTTTTTCGCAATTCCAATGGAATATTGATCAGAGTATGTGGATTGAAGGATCATAAAAAAAACATATCTCCGCCTACACTTCCTAAACTTCTCTTCAAAATTTTAAGTGAGATGAGTGTTTCTTAGCATTTTCTTGTTGATATAAATAGTCATTTAAATTCAATTCCTTTACGTCTTCCACTCATCCTCGTCACATGCTTCCTCTGATGAAATCTGGTATGAGAAAAGCTCCCTTTGGATGAAAGTTTTCTTTGGGTACAGAAAAAGAAGAAAATTCATTCAAATCGAACAAATAAGAACAGTGCGCTTGGCAGAAATAATCTCTTTATATCCCTAAAGTCTGTTTAAAAAGAAGTGTATAAGTGTACAAGCAGCTTCCGGTATCACAATTTAATCAACTTTTCTCTCTTTTTTTGAAAAAAGGGTCAGAAGAAAACATAAAATGAAATTCTATGGCAGCTAATAAGAGGCGTTAAGCGGTTGAAAGCTAAGAGTGATTAGAATTTTTTTTCTTCTTTCAACTTTCATATGTTTAGTAAAATTTAGTTCGTATTTATAATTAGCACTTATACTAATTACCATATTGCCAAAAACACTCGTCTTTTTATTATTCTATGGTTGTTTCTGGAAGTTCATCAACGCTCATCGCCTTTTTTTGCTTTTTTTCTTTTAGCACTAAGAGAACATTTACATCCAACAATCTATTTGAGCGTAATGAAACCCTTTACTTTATTAACTTCAATTTAGCTAATGAACTAACTTTTACATCCCTCCTGAGATTCGCTTCCACCCTCCACATCAACAGAGAAAAAGTTTGTTATGAAGTTTAACTGAATCAATTCAACTAAAAGCGAAAGGGCGAAGCTTCAATTGAAGTAGATATCTGCTGCGTAAATTTAATAAATCCGAAAAGTGAGAATGAAAATTTTGTTGTTATTATTTCCATGTCGATGAACGGAAAAAGGAAAACAGAAAATTTCACACGAGATTCTGGTTTTTGGCTTTTATTTTTGCACCGCCTTAAATCGTGTGAAGCGGAAATTTCCTTTCTTTTCTTTCAGATTGAGACGTTTTCTCACATAAGTATAATATGTGTAAAAAGCTTTTCTTTTTTTTTTTTTTCTTCAAAGCCTTGTAAGCCGGTTAAGGTCACATCAGTCCTACTTCCAATGACAAACTTCGAGTCTCTTGATTATGTCGTGTTTTCTAGTTGAGCAGTCTTTTATATCAATAATGAATCAGCATAAGGTTTATTACGATTCCCTTGTGTACATTTCGTTTGTCTTCTTCGTTCCATTTCATCTCAGTTCTTACATACAAAACAAAACTGCTCACTCGACAAAATGTTGTTGTCTTATTGATGCTTCACGTATCGTCGTCTCCTTATTCATTCAAACAAACAATGCTGAAACGATCAATTCAAAGCCTCCTAAAAGTTGAAATCTCTCAAGGATGTCTCACGTCTTGGGGCGCGTTTTTCACATGACACATAAAATAAATTTAAGGAAAATCTTCCTTGAACTTCAACTTCGTGATACATTAAGGGTAAAACTTTTCGTATGGTTGTTGGTGTCCCGTAGGCACGAGAGCGTGAAGGAAAATATTGGAATGAAAACTTTTACACCACACACTCGTAAATACATTTCAAAGTTATGGAGGTGGTAGGTACGATGAACAAAAAAAAATCCCTAAAGACTACTAGCAAGGAAATATGATTTATGCTAATTATTTGAATTGTTTATATTGTGGATTTTTCTCGTTTCTTTTGTTTTTATTGCCGTTTATACATGAATTTTACATCGCAATTTTCCGTTAAAAAGCGAGCGGAAAAGTTTTAAGATCATTCAATTCCATACACTTCATTGTATACATTTTTCGAAATGCTATTGTTCTCAATCTTTTTAGGCGATAAAATAAAATTGATTCACGCCTTTTTATGAGGGCTTGAAGAAAAGTAAACATTTTCAATTAATCATTTTATCCCATTTATTCTTTCAAAGAATTTTATTTTCAACCATACAAAACACAAAAAAAGCCTTGAAATTCAATCGGATGAAAGATTTGTAATTTCTATTCAAGACTTTTTAAATGAAAATTGAAAAACAACATTCATCCTAATTCAATTGCTAAGCAATTGCATAATTTTTCAGCTCCATTAAATAAGCTTGAATACAAGGTAAATGGTTACTCGTGCCACTTCACAGAGCACATCAAAAATACATTGAACTTGATGGTCTCCAACATCATCTTGAGTATTTTCATGTTGCGGATTTAGATTTTAATTTAAGCAAGTGGAATTTATGTTTTGAAACCAGAATGCGAGAAAATATGATAACATTTTTTTTAAACTCTTTGGCTGATGAGTCAGTGATGGAGCTTAATATCAGATTGTTGAGAAATAAATGTTAATAAACAAAAATAAAACTGTTTTAAGATAGAAACAACTGATTATAAATCATTGTAACATTACATCACCGCCAATCGTCCCTTGGAATGAAGATTTACATTTTCTTTCCTACTTTTTTTTTGTTAATGCGTTTTCCTTTTTCTTTCGAAAGACGAGAACGAAAAGCCAGAAGAGATTTATTGTGCAGAGTAAAAAAATTTGGCGTAAAAATTGTTGCTTTGTGTTCAATAAATGACCTCGAATGTTTTATAATAAGTAGAAAAAGAAAAACTTTTCGAAATAATCCAATGTGATAACTGAGAATCTTCTGGCATCTATCAAAACGCTAAATACATACCTCAACAAAAATCTATGTCAATATTCATGTGCCATTAAGTTCTTCTATTGTAATTTTAATGTCAATGACAGCAATTTAGTAAAACAATGAAATCAACCGACAATTTCCAGTGATAAATTCTCTTCTTGTTTTGTCTCTCACGGTGACATATTAAAATGATGACGATCACAATCTTTTTGATTTCCTTTGGTAAACATTAGCTTTTATTCTCTTCTTGTTGCCACATCTACATTCCCAAGACTGATGAGTAATAGCAGCAGTTTGTAATATTCTTCCATAAATCTTATACTTTTACATATCTCCTAACATTTCTTAAGTTCTTCCCTTTTTTTATTCACAAACATATGTGACAAATTTACCAGCAAGCAGGAAGGAACACTTTGCATTAGATTTTTCATTTTCTCATAAGCTATTTAACTGCTGAGAATAACATCACTTTCAACATTTATCATTTAGTCGTCTCTGACCTAGGGTTTCTCTTTCTACATTTAGCATCTTTTTTTACTATGGCAATGTTTCATTTTCGTTTGTCTTTCCTTTCTTTGAAGAATCTTTTTTGTGAAAAAAAAATTAAAGATAAAAGAAGCTTATAAGAAGCAATGAACCTTCAGAAGTTATCTTTGAATCATTCAAAGTAGAAATTTTGAATCCTTCTTTAACACGAATTATTTCTCTTAAAGCTGAAATTCTTGAGTTCTTATTTTTAAAAATTCTTAGTAAAATTTTTCTTAAATCAACGCAAAACATGATTATAACAAGAAGAAGAAAAAATCAAAATAATAAAATTAAACTTTGTGACAGAAATATTCCGTTCATTATGAAATTCCGGAAGAAAGTAAATTTCACACTCCGGTTTATTTTGAAAATTTTACTTATGAAATATTCCTTAAAATCTACTAAAATTTTTTTTTCGCGCTATTAAGTTTCGTTCTGTGGATTTTCTAATTAAAATTTTTTTGGAGAAAAGAAGACATAAAGTGAGAGGACACATTTTGGTATTCATAAAAGGAACATAAATTTGATCTCTTTTCAACAAATTCATGTAATCTAAGTTAATATGACTAATGTTTAACGAAGTTCTCTGCGACAAGATGTTGATAAAAAAGTCTTCAACATTTTCCTCACGGTGCCGTAGCTTTAGAACAGAGAATCGGCAGCGAAAAGAAAAACTTTTCATGTAATGAAAATTCGAGCAAAACGTTGACACAGTGCTTGCTAGAGGCGGAGAAAAATAAATGTCTACTTCCTTCGAGAAACCTTTCAAACTTCTTGAATAAAAACGATGACTGAAAATTGTAACTTTATATTTTAATCGAATAACAAATGCAATAAAATGAATGAAAATAAAAGCAAACATTGATAAAGTTACGTACATAAATGTAAGTATGCAATGCTCTTGAAGAAACTTTCCTTACATTTTATTTATAATCATTTGACCTTGACAAAACTTTTTAGTCACTTCGATTGAGACTCTTCTCGACCAATTCAAAACCAAAGCTCACAACGAAAGAAATTTTATCATTCCTGAATTAAATAACTCTCGAGATTAATAAATATAAGAAAATCACTTGACTTCCCACTCTGTAGAAATCAATTAATGGCAAATTAATTTTAATTAACCATTCTCATTTAGAAATTGAATAAAAAGTTTTATTTTTTTTTCTACGTCTCTTAAATTGAAGTCGATTAAGGTTTATGACAATAAGAAAATTAGTGTTTTAATTAATTCTGAGGCGTCTTTAAACAGCACTAGAAATTATATTAACTTGAAATAAGTGAAAACAGAAATGTACAGAAACTGAGAATCATGAAAAGCAACTCAATTTGTTATTTTTCGCTGAAATCTTAGAACTCAGAATTTGTTTTCGCAAAAACAAAATCAAACAAATAAACTTTGTTCACTCAAAAAGAAAGTTTGCACTTGAAGCAATCTAATTTCAGAAACTACATTAAGTATCAGTTCATCTTTATTAGACTGAAATAGTTAAATTTAAGTTATAACGAGTCCGTTGATCAGTTCAGCTCATGGGATGAATCGTCTGCTACATCATAGAAAGCTTCTAATGAATTCATCATGATTTCAATTATAACTCCATTTCTAGATGCTCTAACAAAAACTCTGTGTTATTTGAAGACACGACACTATAAAGCTTATATATCACAATGCTTGTAGAACAAACTTTTTTAATCACAACTTCTGTTCTGGTTAAAAGTCTTTTACAATTCTCCTAGCCTTTACGAATTGTTATCACTGTCGAAAGAAACAATAAAATATATTTTAAATGCAACTCATGAAAGCTGTTAGCATATTATATTCTAAAGACATCTAAAATCATGTCAATTGCTGAATAATTATCCTTAAGGCTATAAGAATTCTTCTTAAATATTAGCTCTCCTAAAGGCATATCAACGGCTTTGCCTAATTGCGACTCTAATTACATGTCTTTTCAAAAAACAAACAATGATGTGAAACAGCTACGATGAACACAATTTCAAAAAATGAGTAAGGGCAAATAACAACATAATTAGCGAAAAGATTTGATGAAAGATGCTTTCAAAATATACACAAATTAGTAAGAAGTACACATATCTTAATGGTTCAAAGCTTGGTTAACAGCACGAAGTTGTCATGCAATTTTCTTGCCTTTTGAAAGCTTTCTACAGTAGAAAATCAACAAATAAAATCTCTTATGAATTTGTTTCAATTTTAATGAAACTTCACTGTAGGTTATTTATGCTTTTGATAGAATATTAATTTGACAAATGAGAACAAGAAATTTATTAGCAGGCAAAAAGTAAATTAGGAAATGGTCGAAGTACTACCATCAAAATTGAAGTAATAGCATGCAATAGATTCCAACAAACATTTTATATTTACGGCCACAAACAATGAAGAGTAAAATTTTCGATATGTGAAGGTTTATAAACCTTATGCGTATTCATTTTAAACACGAAAACAATGAGAAATTTAAGTTCAGTGACCAATCCTTGCACCCATTTCAAACGTTTATAACCCGTTTGGAAGTTTAATGGAATATTTTTGTTTTGTGAGTTCAGTAAACGAACTCACAAACAATGTTCATGCTCAAAGGAGTAGAATGGATAGATGAATTCTAGAGAAAGCTTAAGATAAACGCCGCCGTTGCCTTAGCAGTGTTGTTTATGTAGCTTCACATTTATCAAAAGAGACGATAATTTTAGCCGTCCTTCTCGGAGCTGAAGCAAATAAATATGTATATATAACGCAAAGCAATAAAATAAAGTCAGATGACTGTAAATTTGACCAAATATCTTTTTCGGACTCTTTTTCTTTGAATAGAGAAACCACAAATAAAATCCTGTACAGCTTCGACGTTAATTGCTTATTTTCATCTTAACAACGAAACTTTGAAAAATGGGAAACAATTTTTTTTTAGAAACCTCTGACTCAGCTTAAAGTATAAGCCACGAACTAGAGATTTCCTTAATTTAATGTCAACGAGTTTTCAGAACATCAAAACTGGAGTTTTAAAGTTAATATCTAAAAGAAAGAAAATGAATGTACAGTGAATTCTCGATTAATGCAAATTCCATTCTTCAAAATCGAATTTTTTTCACGTGAAACTAAATATTTTGACATTTTCCAAGAGTTTTCAAGAACTAAGTATATTTTATTGATAGTCCACTGTACATAGAAGAAGAATGAAGATTTATTTCACTTTAAGACACACCAAACATTTGTCAAGCTTACAACGAAACTTTAGCGTGTCTCCGAAAATATGAAAATTAAATTTTCGCTATAGAAATCACGTTTTCTTTACACAAATAACTCGATGAAAATGATGAAAAATTATGTACAAAGGATTTTCCTATTATTATTATTATTATTATTATTATTACTACTATCAACACCATTCGTCGTATAATTTGTCTCATTGTTAAAATATCTTTTCAATTTTTCAATTTACTCAATCTTCTGCATTTTTGACAACGTTAATAATATTTTTTGTTGTTTCCGATTTTTTTGCCTACTCATTTTTTCGTTGCTGGAAGGAAAATAAATCCCAAATTTTATTCGGAGAAAAGAACAATTTTAAAGTAATTTATAATCTTGAAGGATTTGTTTCAACAACGGAGGAAGTAAGCAAAACGAAGCAATTGAGACTTTAATGCAGAATGTTTTGAAAAGTTGTAAAGTCATAATTTGAAATAATATTTATCCCATAAAATGCTTCCGAAAGCTTTTTCCACTCCAATTAGCGACGGATTAAATGTTAAAGTAGTCTCAAGGACAATCAACAATCAATGTTTGCGAGGGGAGAGAATGGTTCAAAGGGAAATAAATTGATGACAAACGTGTTAGGTGATTTTTTCCATGAATGAATAAAGTATCCGATTTTCCACCTCGTATCCTCATAAAGACGTTCAATCTTTGAAAGACTTTGTCGCAGAAGAAAAAAAAAACAGAAAAAATTGAAGACTAATGTAGAAAAAGAACGAACGTAATAAATCTTTACCTGCCTTTTGCAACATACAACAGGATTTCCAAAAATATTTGAACTGAACGGCTTGCTGTTCCTGATAACAACCTAGGGAGTGTAGAGAAATTTATAAGGATTGAATACAATTTCGATCGAACAGTAAAATGATAAATATATCGATATGGAAGCAAGAAAATCTGTAATATTTATAGCGAAAAGAGAATTTATTGTCATTACAGTTATTCGGTAACATACGAAGTTCAATACTTAAGAAAAATGAAGTGTTCGGTTAAAAACAATTTTTTTCTCATTTAATAATTCATAAATTTCACTCACAGTTATAATTAATTCTTCCATTTACATATTTAAATTCGTCAATTGAAAAAAATAAAAGGCCTTCAGTTATCCTAAGTTCATTGCCCTTTCGTAAACTTTAAATCTGCACTCTTGAACAATCTCATTGCCAAAGAAGTCATTGGTTATTGCCATTAAAAATTAAAATCATATAAATTTATTTTTCATCACGTGAACATTTAACGCTGACTCATATACAATCTACTTGATTTCTATAAAATACTAAAATTTAAGATGATTTCTTTTTTGACGTATACCTACTTATTTTTAATAATAAAATTTTTAAACGAACGATTTGAGTTTTCGACATGGATGCTTCAATATTTTCTACATGTAAACTGCACAAACTTTATGTATGTTTTTCAAAATTACATATGAATGAAGTTTACTTGAATCAGCTGATAACTGGTCAATGTTGCAAATAAATATGTATGTGAAGATGTTATCATCGAACACGTTTCTCGTTTATTTCAGTAGTAGTTTGCTTTTGTTATCTACTTTGTGATTTCTAAAATTTCAAACACATTTAAAGGCTTATCTACTAGAAAAACGGAAGAAGATGCAAGATTATGAAGTCATAATTAATGAACGGTTTAATTTAAGTCATTTACAAAAAACCAAAATAACCTTGAAAAATTTGCTAATAGATAATTAACAAACGCTCTAAGTTTGAAATAATTTTTTTCAACTCGAGTGTTAACACTTTAAAAGTTCAAATCTTCAGAAAGAATCCACAAGGTTTTCCTGTACAAAGTAAAGTAATAATGAAGCACTTTAATTTTCATCGTCATTGGATGTTTTAAACCGGTTGTAATTATGTAAACAAAATATTTATAGACAATGATTTTTGAATACACAAAAATTCTAAGTATTTACAAAACTATTGTAAATTGGTGATTCTGTTTCCCAAATAAATTTCTAATAAGAACATGATTTTAATTGAACTTTAAACTTAAAACATTTAACACAATACATTTAAACTGATAACAATCGGACTGTGGCATCGTACAACAGGTTAAAGTAAATCACCATCTAAGATTATTTTACTGTACAAGATACGAGATAAGAAGTCGTTTATTAACTTTTAGTAACACAACTCAAATACTTAAGATGCTCGCTTCGTAGTCACACCAGTAAAGAAAAGACGACGCTTGTTACTTGTTTCACACATGATAATATAACTTAGTTGATCCAGTCGATAATTTGTTTCCGTCGAGTACGGAACAAACGGAGTTTACTTCACCATTTTCATTATTTAAAAAATTAACAATTTAAAGTGCTCATAAATAATTTAAAATTCAATTCTATGATAATTAGTGCTGTGAAATTTAAAACAGTATGAAAGTTCGAGCCATTTTTAATGTATAAGAAATGGAATAATAACTAAAAAATTAAGGTTGATCTGATACTTTATTAACAAGTGAACTCAGTTATTACGGTGACGAAAACTACTTATTGGTTGACTGAAAACCTTTTTGTTTCTCATCAATCGGTCACATTAAAATCGATAACAAAATGGAACTTTTTTTGAGAGCATACACGCTTCTCAATAAGCTTGTAAATTTTCTGTTAACGCCGTTTTTAATTTTAATTTTTGACTTCAACAAAAGCAAGACTGAAAGCTTACCAAATATTGACAATCCAATATTAGAAATATGCGCAGTAGATTTAGCTGAGAAGATCAGGAATAAAGAAGTAAGTGTGGAAACAATGATTATTCAATATTCCGGAAGATGTTACAAGTTCTTAACAAATCAATACAAACATATGTAGCACCACTGTTATTTACTTGTTTAGCAATCTCTTACTCATCGTGTTCGCAGGAAAAAAAAATATAAATTTTATGTTTTGTTCGTGGTGTACAAACACCGTATCAAGACAGAACGTAGCTCTGTGAATTTATTAGCATATGACTTTCATGATAGATACATCAAATGCTATGTGTCTGACTGAACGAAACACACATAACAAAGGTTAAATTAAGTGATCTTGAAAAAGAAATTATGCTGATACTGAGGTTTTACTTCAACTTCTCTTCCTCTCTAAAATTTTATATTGTGACTTATTATTTCATTCTTTTCAAGTATTCTACTTAATGCATTTACATACAAGTAAATAATGAAAAGAGAAACAAATTGTCATGAGAGGAGGTTAATTGACCCGTCTGAAAGATTGAAAATAGTTTCTGTGACCTTTGTTCATAAGAATATTGAAACAATTTTGCATTATCTAGAAATTTATTTATAAACTGAATGAAAACTTCTAAATTGTTAAAAAAAATTTAAAAGTTTCTACTTTAAAATGAAAATTGTTGTTGGTTTTTATAATTGAATGTCTATTGAAGTTCTTGAATTTAAATTAGAAACATGATTGAAAGATGAAAAATCAAGGAAATTCTATATATTTGCATAATTAGAAGTAAATATTAACTTGTTATTATCGTACAAAGTTTTCTCATGTGATTATTACCTTTTTTATTAATCTTAAATCAAGGAAGCTAACAAAATTTTAACACCATGAATATCAAATATCTCCCAAAACTTTTTTGTCTTTGCACAGAATGCAAATAAAATAATTAAATAATAAAATTAGTGTGTGACTTCTTTTAAATATTTTTGGTTTTATTTACGTTCATGAAGATTCTGCTCGAACACGAACAATAAGTATATATTGACATCGCACTTTAAACTTCTAAATTGCCACTTGAGATTCTTCTTCCTTCCAACCAAAAAGACAAAGCATGGAAAAGAGCAATAATTTTCATATTATCACACAAATTACTTAATCAAATTGAGGGATCTCAGTGAAGAGAGCTTATTGACTCAAGTCGTTTGTTATGTTTGTATAAGTTTCAACAGAATGAATGTCTCGTTAATGTTCTCTGAATGAATTGCGGAGGTCTTTTCAAGAGATGTAGAAAATTATACGATAGTCGACAATGCTTTTAGGGTTCAAAAATCTGACAAACAGAAAGCAATTTATCTATTTTAATTGTGTCTTAATCTTGAAATTTTGCCGTTTCAGATATCATCCGAAAAAGTTGTGTATGAATATATCAACCGAATAAAGAAAATTGAGCCTTTTATTAATGCTGTTATTGAGGATCGCTTTGAAGATGCCATTAATGATGCAAAGAGAGCTGATAAAGTTATTGCTGAAACGTCTCCAATTTACGTCGTTAGAAACTTCCCATTACTTGGTGTGCCATTTACTGTCAAAGAAAGTATAGGCTTAAAAGGTTGTTCATATGTGGGAGGATCAATTGCAAGAATTGGAACAAAAGCCACGAGAGATGCTGTCGTTGTACAAAAATTAAAATCAGCTGGAGCAATTCCTTTGCTTGTTTCTAACACACCGGAATATTGTACAAGTTGGGAGTGTAATAATTTAGTCTTTGGTAGAACATTAAATCCATACAATTCAGGAAGAACAAGTGGAGGTTCGTCAGGTGGAGAAGGTGCTTTGAATGGGGCAGGTGCAACAGTGTTTGGCATCGGTTCTGATGTTGCTGGTTCAATAAGAGTTCCATCAATGTTTAATGGCATATTTGGACACAAACCAACAGCAGGGTTGGTGAGCCTTGACTCTCATTTCCCAAGCTCTTCGGATAAAAATTTTAACAATTATTTAACAATCGGTCCTATGTGTCGGTATGCAAAAGATTTGCCAACATTGATGTATCTGATGGCTGAAGAAGAATTTCAACCATTGCTAAGACTCGACCAACCCCTTCACACAAAAGACATCAAAATTTACTATTTAACATCAGCTGGTTTCTCATTTTGCTTGTGGAATGTTGAGCATTCAATTCAAGTTAAATTGCTGGAAGCGGTTTCTCATTTCAAATCAAATGGACTTCATTGTGAACAAGGGGATTTTTTTTGTGACTTAACCGAGACTTTAGAAATCTCAATTGCAACATTCTTCGACATGGAAGACATTCCAGACTTGCTGTCGAATACTAAAATGAGTGTAAGTTTATTTCAGTCTTTTTCACAAGAAAATTTTAAAATCATTCGAATACAAGTGTTAAGTTTCTCAAGGATACTTTAAACTTTCTTGTGTGAAACTTTTGCCATGCTTTCTCTTCCTCAAACACCCAAACAAAAGTTCGTCGTGAAGATTACAAACAAGACTGCTTGCTTTTTATCTAAGTAAACTTTGTAAACTTTTCTTTTTAATTTACACAGAAACCGAAAGACTTGCTAAGCGAGTTGGGAAAATCAATAATTGGACGTTCGGAATACTCGTTTTACGGTCTCTTCTTTAGAGCGCTTCATGCAACTAAAAACATTTTGATACGCCCTTCCAAGAAGGATTACTATATAAATCGCGGTATTGAGTTAAAGCAAAAAATGCTCGATAAGCTCGGTACAGACGGTGTTTTGTTTTATCCAACATTCCCTCAAGCTGCTATGAGGCATTGTGAAAGTCCTACAAAAATGAGCGGTGTCATGTACACGATGTTCTTCAATTTGATGGGCTTTCCATCCACCCATGTACCAGTAAGTTTGAAAATATTCGCCGTAAAATTTTCATCATCAAAAAAATATCTGCAACTCTTTTTTTATGCGATATTTTTACTTTTTTTGTATTCTCAGATGGGAAAAGATGCGAACGGTCTTCCAATTGGATTTCAGGTACATTTGCTGAATGTATTTCTATTTCACGATGACAGATCTCCCTTGTCATTAGCTTAGCTCATTTCCTTTCTGCAACTGAACATTTGATTATAATCAAGTTTAATTGCTTTTTTATTCACTGTTTGTTGCAGGTTATTGCGGCGCCGTATCAAGATCGAAATTGCTTTGCGATCGCTAGAGAGTTGGAAGCAGCTTTTGGCGGATGGAAACTTTGACGCCCTTTTATTTTTGTATTTCTCTTTTTTTATCAAGCAGTTAAAAAAACTTTTGAGTTAATTTTATTCGCAACAAGACAACAATTCAATGTAGTAGAACAGTAAATTTTATAGCTTCTGTGGCTCCCCAAGTGATATAAATAAATCACCAGGAAGAACTAATTTTTAATTTATATTAAGCTTCTCGACAATAAAGTTCAAAAGCTCTAAACATATTGTATTGGTTGCGAATAAAAATTAAGACCCAATTTTCTTTTTTTCATTAAATTCCATTGCATTTTTTAACATTCTTTTCAGACTTGAATGATTTTAAATTTAATGTCTGTAATATGATATTTGTATGTAGTAAAACTATTGTTTGAGCTAAAGTAATTTAAACGTTTATGAAACAAAGAACTTGCTCGTTAAATTCTTTCATTGTCTTATAAAAAGCCATGAAAGAGAACGCCATTAAATAAACTTGGTTTTGCTTTCATCTTTGAATTGGATATTTTTGTTGAGTCTTAAATTAAAAAAAAATGGAAAACGATGCAGTTTTCCCTCAATAGAATGACAATAAAGCAAGTGTTGTCAATGAACTTTGAAAAGGTATTTCCATTGTTTCATCAAAATAATTGTCTTTCCAACTTTCTGTCAAGATTGATTTTAAAACACGTTTTTAAAAAAAAATAACATAAGGATTGAGCTTTTTCAATTATTTCCTTCCTTAATTCAACTCCACTCTTTATAAACGAGTTCAAAAATGCTCGAAATAATGTCATTGCTATCGTTTTTTTCCTAACTGTCAATATGTTTATTGGAGTTCTTAGAATTTCTTATCCTTAAGCAATCAACATTTCAAGATAACAAAAATACTTGAATTTTCCATGAATTCAAACGGATGAAAATGAATGTTAATAGGTACTTTCTTCGTTTAGTGGATAAATAAAAATACCTCGCTTAATTATATCATCCCATCTATTTCATGTGAATTTCTATCAGTTAAACTTGCAATGAAACTCTAACTACAAAAATGACAGCAAATAAAATCTCATTACATTTTTTACAAGAAATTTTTAATTGAAAATTTTTCTCTGAGAATAAAAGTTTCGCGGCTCGCGACAATTGTTACCTAATAAAACGCAATTATTGTGTAAAAGCTGCAATCTGAATACGAATGAGAGTGGTAACTACGTAAATATTTAATAGCTTCGTTTGGTGCAACGTTTTTCATTGTGAATATTATTAAATTTATGAACATGAAGTCGAGTGTTATGTATATAATGTACCTATATGAGAAACCCTTAGAGCCTTCAGCAAAATTAAACATTTTAATGACTATATAGTCGCTTTACTATGGTTTTCAATTTTCAACGCTCTCGAAATGTAAACTCCCAAATTATTTCGCGCTTTTAGCAAGAAGTTTCGCAAAGCTTTTCACTATGAAATTAATTCGTATTCAAAGAATTAATGAAAATTTAATACCACTTTGAAAACAATTTATTTACGTCTTAATTTTTGTAACACTAAACAAACCTTTCATTTTACAATCCGCCATTGTTTGAGAGGTATGAATATTTTCATTCCATCAATTTTCGTATTAAAATTATGAATCATTATGTAGATAGTTAATATTTAATCATAGTTCAAATGTAAGAATTTTAAAATTGTCTAAAATAATCTCAGTATTTTGAAAATATTTTAATTCTTTCTCAAAATCGTGTCTTCTTATTTTCGAAGGAAATTTTAGTTTATTCTCACGATGGATTAAAAAGCAAGAAAATAAAAATGATAATAAAAATTCTTTTGAATGGAGGTTGGCAATGACAACATCAAGTTTAAATTAAAGTAGAAATATTTCTAGAAATAATTTGTTCTGTCACTTACCATGCTTAAATAAACGTTCAGTTCTTCTTCTTTTCACAATATCACAACATTTAAAAAAGACATTTTTATAATGGAGAAACCTTTTTAAAATTCCTCAAACTTTATAACGATGTGTAAAGATTGAAAAAAGTTATGGATATTTGAAAAAAGTATTTCAAGTGTCATACTATTATTTCTTTTATCGGTACTGTATGTTTTATTAATATGTCTGTAACTCTTCTTTAAACTTCAAGTTAATGAACTTGCATTCTTATATGTATAGTAAGTCATATAGAACTTCTACTTGAGCCTCGAATTTAAAAAGAATTAATTTTGACATTGTCTTTTCAAGAGAATTGTTTACATTAGAAGCAATATTGAGGAAATTATCAATTATAAGTAAATATCTAATATTATATTGATAGTTTGCTTAGGTTAAACAAACAATTTTTCAAATGTTGATATTAATTCAAATCGATAATTACGTCCTTCAAAAGCTTGATTTATGTTAAAATTTGAGAAAGAAACATTTCTTGAAAATTTGATAGTTGTTCGTGCAGAAAATACAAGAAAAAAGCTTACAGAATGTAATTGAGCTTGACATTTTAAATTTCCAAGATTTAATTCCTTCAGACTTATTTAGAGTATAAACGAAACTGCTGGTTATAATGATGAAGTTTCAAGATTGCAAAAAAAATTAACATGGTTAAGATTAAAGTTTACTTCTTTACAAGAAATCCGCCTCATGGTAACTTTCATATAAATTTTGAACGCATAAAGCTTTTCGTTGTTGACTTCACGATGTTTAAAGTGAATTTCATTGCATTTCTAGCTTTAAATCTTTTCGAATCTTGCTGCGTCTTTGCTCGTGCAATGTATCAAGATTAATTTATTTCTGCTTAAAGTTTATTGCTGTAATGAATGTTAACAGAATTCTAATCAGCTTAAAATAAAACGAATCTTTAAATGTTAAATATCCGTAACATTTTATGCTTTTGTTAGCATAATAAATACTATGTATACTAAGAAAAAAGTTTGCAACTTCTAAAATACTTTTGTTAAATAGATTTTATATTTAAGATTAAAATGATTTTTATGTTTTTAATCCTTGAACAAGGCTTACGTGTTGTTTGTAATCGGTGCTGCTGCTATGATTTGGTTTCTTTATTTGCTTATTTTCATTGCAGTAAAACTATTGAAACTAAACAAATAAAGAGAAATATTTATAATTAACGATTAATTATAATTGGCAATAAAGTTTTGAAATAAAAGGAAACATTAAGCGAGCTATAAGGAAAAGTGTTGCTTATTAATCATTCAATCATATATACGCTTTTGTTTAATTTCGAAATATCTACATATTAAGGAGCTTATGATTTGTAAGCTTGCATGAATTCAAAACTGCAAATTCATGGCAGAATCGGCTGATTAAAGTCACGTTGAACAAATAAAATTATTTGCTGAGTAGCACAAATGCTCAAATGAGGGTTGGAAGTTAACCAATTCGAAATATACGGAGAGCAAATCAACATAAGCATAAGCATAGAAATAAGACATTATATTCTAAATTCTTTTATAAAAATAAATGTTTCAAGACATGTTGAAAACCAGAATGAAAATACGGAATATTTAGATTATTACTATTATTGAATCCGTAGTCAATGTTTGCTAATTTCATTTTATTTTAGCTCAGCTTTAGAGTAGAATAGAATGTTCATAAAAATCACTCTGGTGTTGGAAATTTGAAAAGAAAAATTGTTAGACAAAAAGAAAACGGAAAAACATATCAAGAAATATTATCTTCAATTTTTTGATAATCCTTGTTATTTTCTTTAAAGTTCAAATATCTTAATGCTTTTGATGTTTTTTTCTCTTTGTAATGAATATGTACAGCGACGTTCGGATTATCCATTTAATGAGACTTTTCTCCTTCAATTTATCAAAATTAAAACCTGCGAAGGAAAAATATTTCTTTTGTTCGGAAACTCTTCAAGTTCACTTACAGAACATCTGAGTTCCATCACACGCAAAAATAGTTTAATCTTCTAGCTTTTTCAGGAAATTAATAGGTGAATATTTTTCATTAAATTGAATGTCATTTTTATAATTTTCACAGCACTGATGTGCATGTTGTAATTTTTTTTTTCATAATTTTTTATTTCTCATCGCATATTTATGTGAATATTCTCAACAAATTTTTCATGGGAAAATTCCTATAAGGTTGACTTTTTCGGAATCGCCGCTTGTGCCGCTCGGGATATGTGGCTTACGATCTTAAAACTCACGAATGCTGTGCAATATTCGTCTAAAAAGCTTTATGATGCGAACAAAGCTTGCTCTGAAAATGGATTGCAAACGATTATTTCTAATGTCATTGTTCTTATTCTCGATTATTTCTTATTCTCGCCGTTTTTTTTTCTTTTCGCTTTTTCGTTTTCTGGAATATAGCTAATAAATATTTTAATATAAAGTTTCGCCAGCACGGATCTGAAGCTTTTATTATCCTTTCTTTCCCTTTTTTCTTTCTTTGATAAATAAATAAAGCCTCCTTCTCTCTACATTCGAATCATGCTGTTATCCTTCTCAGGAAATTATTGAAAATTATATGAACATAATTGTATACAAAAACGAGAGGAAAATCTATCCAAGTACAGCTCTTGGATCCTAAGCATGCTATGCGGAATGCAGATTCACCAGAAGTTAAAAAAAAAATGAAAAATTATATCTCTTTAATAATCTTTTGTGTCACAACAAATTTGCCAAAAATGAATAGAAGGCAGGAAGTATACGGGAGGAAACTTTCTACCCCCATAGTGGAATGACATACAATGCCAAAAGCGAAAATGAAGAAAAGAGAACAAATTTATAGGGTAAATCAACTAATAAGGAGGGAAATTTTCAATATCAATTAACAGATCTGTTAAAAGTGTTTTGAACATTACTTAAATATCCCCAATTCGATGATTTGCCCTAAAGAAAGATTTTCTAAAGTTTTTTTAATTTAAATATTTTTCAATTTCTTTTCATGAAAGACGGGATCATAACTGTATGGATTACAAAGTCAGATTTATTATAAAAAAATCAATCAGTTCAACTTTTTCATTGTTTATTCATTTAGCCATTGACGAACTAATTCTTGAATTTTCTCTTTTGTTGCCTTCAATTCAGGTGAATCGTACGATGAAATTTGACCTAAATCGGAAACATGAGCGTTTAAAGGCAAAACAACAACTGGGGTTGATTCGTTCAAATCTTCTAAAATTCCGGTTGGATGCCAAGGGTCAAGACCTCCATGAGTGAAGAAAACATTTGTTAATGAAAGCTTCAACGCACCATAGAATGTGTTTGTACGTGCGATGTTTTGTTCGATTGTTGTTAAATTGAATCTAAAATTCATTTAAATTATATACAAATTTTAAACAATTTATGTTTAAATTTCATCATGAAAATACTAACGAGTTGTCATAGAGATCCTGGCAAAGCTTCAA